AAGGTCAAGAGCGTGCTGAGCGGCGACACTCTGGTTCTTACCGCCCCGAACAACCCCAAAGCCGAGAAGACCGTCTCCCTCGCCTACGTCAGCGCACCCCGTCTGAGCAAGGATGGCGACGAGCCCTATGCCTTCCAGTCAAGAGAATTCCTCAGAGAACTTGTCGTCGGCAAGCAGATCCAGTGCACAGTAGTATACCAAGTAAACTCTGGCCGCGAATTCGTCTCTGCTCTCCTCTCCCGCGATGGTCCCTCCCTTCCCGATGAGGCCATCAAGGCTGGCTGGCTCAAGGTCAGGGAAGAGGCAGGCCGCAAGGACGACGACGAGACGGTCCTCGCCCGCATCGACAGCCTGCGCCAACTCGAGAGCGACGCCAAGGACCAGGGCAAGGGTCTCTGGGCTGGCACTGGTGGCAGCATCGAGGTCCAGAACGACCTCGGCGGCCCCGACTTCATGAAGCAATGGAAGGGCAAGACTGTCGATGGTATCGTCGAACGTGTTCTCAGCGGAGACCGTTTGCTCGTGCGACTTCTGCTTTCGGATAAGAAGCACGTGCAGGTCATGACGCTTCTTGCCGGAGTCCGCAGTCCCTCCACCGAGCGAACGGTTCAGTCCACTGGCCAGACCCAGCCTGCGGAGGAGTTTGGCAACGAGGCCAAGAGCTTCGTCGAGGAGAGACTGCTCCAGCGCCGCGTCAAGGTCGACATCGTCGGCGCCAGCGCCCAGGGCCAGCTCGTTGCTGCTCTGATTCACCCCAACGGCAACAAGAACATCGCCGAGTTCCTCCTGCAAGAGGGTCTGGCGAGGTGCAACGACTTCCACTCCACAATGCTCGGCGAGAAGATGGCTGCCCTGCGCGCTGCCGAGAAGGCCGCCCAGGACAAGAAGCTCCGCCTGCACCAGCACCACGTCGCCAAGGCTGGCGGCTCTCAATCAGACATGATTGTTGCTAAGATTATTGGTGCCGATACCATCATCGTCCGTAACAAGGCCGGCACTACGGAGAAGCGCATCAACCTCAGCAGTGTCCGCGGTCCCCGCACTAATGAGCCCTCCGAGGCTCCCTACAGGGACGAGGCGAAGGAGTTCCTCCGCAAGAAGGTCATTGGCAAGCACGTCCACGTTACCATTGATGGATCCAAGCCTGCTCAAGACGGCTTCGAGGCCCGCGATGTTGCGACCGTTACTGAGAAGGGCAAGAACATTGGTCTCATCCTTGTCGAGGAGGGTTACGCCACCGTTATCCGTCACCGCAAGGACGACACCGACCGCGCCTCCAACTACGATGAGCTTCTCGCTGCTCAGGAGAAGGCCAAGGAAGAGAAGAAGGGTATCTGGTCCGGCAAGGCCCCTAAGCTCAAGCAGTGGGTCGACGCTTCCGAGTCTGTACAGAAGGCCAAGATCCAGCTGGCCACCCTGCAACGCCAGAAGAAGGTTCCTGCCATTGTCGACTTTGTTAAGTCTGGTTCCCGCTTCACCGTTCTCATTCCCCGCGAGGGAGTGAAGCTCACTCTGGTTCTCGGTGGTGTCCGCGCTCCTCGCGCTCCCGGTCCCCGTGGCGAGAAGGGAGAGGAGTTCGGCGCGGAGGCTGCTGACCTTGCAAACCGCCGTCTGAACCAGCGTGATGTCGAGGTTGACATTTACGACATCGACAAGGTTGGTGGATACATCGGTGACTTGTACGTCAACCGTGAGAGCTTCGCCAAGATCCTGGTTGAGGAGGGTCTTGCCTCCGTCCACGCCTACTCTGCTGAGAAGTCCGGAAACGCCAACGAACTGTTCGCCGCGGAGAAGAAGGCCAAGGAGGGCCGCAAGGGCCTGTGGCACAGCTGGGACCCCTCCCAGGACGAGGAGGAGGAGGCTGTCGCTGCTGAGACCACCACCAACGATACCCCTGAGGCTTACGATAACAAGCCCAAGGACTACCGTGACGTTGTCATCACCAATATTGATGGCAATGGCAAGATCAAGATCCAAGAGATTGGCAAGGGCACTGCCGCTCTTACCACTCTGATGAACGACTTCAAGAAGTTCCACTTGGACTCGAAGAACGCGAAGCCCATCAGCGACTCCCCCAAGACTGGCGACTTTGTCGCCGCCAAGTTCTCCGCCGACGGCCAGTGGTACCGTGCCCGTATCCGCTCCAACGACCGCGCGGCGAAGGTGGCCGAGGTCGTCTACATCGACTACGGCAACACGGAGAAGCAGCCCTGGTCTAAGCTCCGTCCTCTGGACCAGGCCCAGTTCACCACCCAGAAGCTCAAGGCTCAGGCCATTGACGCCTCGCTGTCATTCCTCCAGCTGCCCAACGCCCCTCACTACCTCGAGGATTCCATTGGCTTCCTTGCGGAGCTCACTGAGGGCAGAGAGTTGGTTGCCAGCTTCGACTTTGTCGACACCAAGGAGAACTTGAGCTACATTACTCTGTTTGACTATAACGCCAGCGACAAGAAGCCTGGCCCGAACGACTCGCTCAACAAGGAGGTCGTCGCGAACGGCATGGCCATGGTGCCCAAGAAGCTCAAGGCTTGGGAGCGCAGCAGCCAACACGCCGCTTACTTGAAGCACCTTAAGGAGGTCGAGGCACAAGCCAAGGAGGAGAGGCTAGGCATGTGGGAGTACGGCGACATCACCGAGGACTAAGGGATTGTGATACCAAAGGAAAAGGAGGAGGCTGTTTAGGAAAAAGTCATACATAATATGCAATAGCGTTAATGAAGCACAACGCACGGGGCCAAACGAAGCCCTTGTTTTTATTCGCATTCAGCCTCATTTTTCCTTCCCCTCTTGATCACGGCGAGCGAGTGAGCGAGTGCTGCGGTATGGATTTCCGAAGGTAACGGGACTCTGCAGCGTTCCTCGGGGTTACGTAACGTGGAGCCCCCGGTGCGCGGAAGTCGCTTGTCGCGCAAGTTGGCGGTCGGGATCGTCGGCCGGTCGGTTCAATGTTCCATGGCATACACCCCTGCCATGCCCCCCACTACTCGGCCACTCGGCGGGAAACTGGAAGCACGCCGCCCTGCAGGCGAGCGGGCTGTCCGCGCTGCGGCTGACGGGGGGTGGAGGAAAGTGGTGGTGGTGGGAGATGGAATGTCAGAGAATACCGAGACCCGGAGTTTCCTGATACGTGACGTGGACTTGGCGGCTTGCTGCTGTTGTTGCTGGCTGGACCTCTGCTCTGATCTGATCTGACATTGGCGCGGCACAGACTCGCTCACCTTTCCCAAAGATTTCTGCACCGCATATGACTGTGACGAGATATCATTTTGCCGCTTGGCCGTTACTGGATGCGGTTATTGGGTGTAGTTTATTTTGTTGCACAAATGTCGATGGCTGACTGAGGGCCACGCAGCAGCCTCATTTTACGCTGTAAATAGCGCAATGAGATACAACAGCGTCTCCAGCGTCTGTCGGCTGCATGGAGAACGTCGGATAGCGAGCAGGGTGCAGCATGCTCATTCTTTATCTCTCGCGGAAACAGCGAGAGGGCCAAAATAAAAAAGGGAACGGGACCCAACGACGTGATGTCATAAGAGTGGTTCGGAATGACATCAACTGTGGCTATTTTGCTGTTGCTGCAGACTGCGCAGTGGCCTGTGCAGAAAAAGACAGCCTTGAAGATTTGTATCGAGACCAAGGTCCCAAGGCTGTGTAATAAGTGATGGTGGTTTGTCCATGCGTTTTTTTTCTCTCTACCGGCTAAATTTCTGTTGAACGAGGCATGGATGGAGACCCCTCCCTCCTCGCATCGAGGCTTGTTGACTACAGAAAAAAAGTCGCTCGGCTAAACCACGTGTCCGATGTCGCCTTACTGTTGGCCCAAGACGCGAGGGCGAGCGAGAGAACGAGGCAAAGCTCGCCGGGCCACGGACTTTAACCCGGCAGCTGCGGGAGCGCAGCTTGCGTTTTCGTTGTCAGGCGAATTTTTGCGGTGATATTTTCCGCATGTTGTAAGCACCCAGCGGATTATGTCAGCTCTGGAGGCCCTTTGTTCTTCTGGCAGGCCGTTTTGTCACTTTTCTCCGACGCCAGAGACGAGGTAAAATCCGATACAACTCGCGACAAGGCCGAACAAGCGCAGGGTGCCCCGGTCCCGCCTCTTGGTTTTGTGAATATGGAACATGGCTGCTGCAACAGCAACGCCGTAGTCAAGCCGTTATGTGTACTGCAAGACTGCAGAAGAGCAGCCCGTTGCTGCGTCAGGGACCCGGCGGCGGGTATTCTGTGAAGTTTGGAGGTCGCGGAATACTGGGGGTATGACGCCGATTCTGGGTCATGGAGGGGCAAAACTGCTGCGAATGGGGCCCGAGTTACCTCTTGCTACCTGGACTCATTACTCGACGGCCCGCGGTTGGGAAACTTGGACTGAGGAGCGGTTGTATGTACAAAGTGCTCCTGAATCAGGTCTTCACCGAGAGGAAGAGAAAGCGAGAGACTGTCGAGGATCGTTTGATTTGTTTACTCACCTTATCATGGGAAAACCCAGGCCTCGAGACGATGAGGGGTTGCCGTTGCCGTTGCTGTGCGAGAAAAGCGCTGGGGAATCAAGGTGCAGCAGGAGCAGCGTGTTGCAGGGAGAGAGGTGTGGAACACGGAGGGAGGTGGGAGGAGGGACCCCGCTCTCCCAATAATTGTTGCTGAATTGGCCGGAGCACTGGAGTCCGGGGCCTTGCCTCCACCGTCTTGACTGTCATGTCCCGTCAACACTGAAGTCTTGAACCGCTAGAGGGGCACTACCACTGCTAATTGCTCGTTCCCATCCCATCTCTCATAGGTTTGGTGCTCTCTCAGTGCTGGGTAGGTATCAGCGTTCTGCTGCTGTCCCTCAATTTTTGTAGCCACTTCACTCGTGCATGCACCCCCAGAGTGTGGGTCTAAGCTCAACCAAAAGTCTATATATATGTAAATACCTCCACCACCACTACTCGTCATCCCACCTCTTGCATCTCGTCACGTCTCTCAATCCCTCTCGATTTGAATGATCAATCAAACAATCCAAAATGTCTACCTCTCTCGATCAGCTTAAGGCCACCGGCACCGTCGTTGTCTCCGACTCCGGCGACTTCGCCTGTAAGTTACACCGTCGTCACCCCGCCATCGTTACCCCTCCACCCCCCACAACCGTGGCCGGACACACGCTCCTGGCCAGATGAGCTATTTTTCTCATTGCCGCCTCCTGCAACACCACGAACGCAATACCCAAAGCAAAAGCTGACCGCATTTCCAATCGACAGCCATCGCCAAGTACAAGCCCCAGGATGCCACCACCAACCCCTCCCTCATCCTCGCCGCCTCCAAGAAGCCCGAGTACGCCAAGCTGATTGACGAGGCCGTCGCCTTCGCCAAGAAGCAGGGTGGCTCCGTCGACCAGCAGGTCGATGCTGCCCTCGACGCCCTCCTCGTCGAGTTCGGCAAGGAGATCCTCAAGGTCGTCCCCGGCAAGGTTTCCACCGAGGTTGACGCCCGCTTCTCCTTCGACACCAAGGCCTCCGTCGACAAGGCTCTCCGCATCATCGAGGTATGTTTCTTTGTCCCGCAGCGTCTGTCCCGGGGTAACCGGGTTCTAACAAAGAGACACAGCTCTACAAGCAGCAGGGCATCGACAAGGAGCGTGTCCTGATCAAGATCGCCTCCACCTGGGAGGGTATCAAGGCCGCCGAGATCCTCCAGCGCGACCACGGCATCAACACCAACCTCACCCTCATGTTCTCCATCGTCCAGGCCATCGCTGCCGCCGAGGCCGGTGCCTACCTCATCTCTCCCTTCGTCGGCCGCATCCTCGACTGGTACAAGGCCGCCACCAAGAAGGAGTACTCCAAGGAGGAGGACCCCGGTGTCAAGTCCGTCGAGACCATCTTCAACTACTACAAGAAGTACGGCTACAAGACCATCGTCATGGGTGCCTCTTTCCGCAACACTGGCGAGATCACCGAGCTTGCCGGCTGCGACTACCTGACCATCTCCGTACGTTCCGTTCCCGTTACTACTTAATTCGGCATCCAACTAACACTCTCCAGCCCAACCTGCTTGAGGAGCTCCTCAACTCCGACGCTCCCGTCCCCAAGAAGCTCGACGCCTCCAAGGCCGCCTCCCTCGACATCGAGAAGAAGGCCTACATCAACGACGAGTCCCTCTTCCGCTTCGACTTCAACGAGGAGCAGATGGCCGTCGAGAAGCTCCGCGAGGGTATCTCCAAGTTCGCTGCCGACGCCGAGACCCTCAAGGGCATCATCAAGGCCAAGGTCCAAGCATAAATTGCCACAATACCCCAAAAGGCGTGAGCACGCCGAGGAGAGAAAGGAAAGGTGTAACTGGTGCGAGGAGGCAAATTACCCAAATCATGACGTGAGAATGACTTAATGAGACGGATACACACACCCATGGATACAACAGAGGCAAAAAGGGGAAGGCCAGATTGTTGAGGAGGGCGGGCGGTGGATGAATGATATCTTAGAGCGAAGGCAAACATAGCACAAAATCCCGAGATAGATTGCTTGGTTACCAAACCTCTGCGCCCAGCTCTCCGACGAGCTCTTGTGTGTAATCTGACATTTTCCTGCCAAATATATTAGCCGTGATCTAGGATTGAGTATCTGAGTGTGTTGATATGGCATGTACATGTATAAGTCCACCTCGGGATGTCCTCACAAACTTTCACCTGCAGACACTTTCACCTGCAGACGAGGTTGTTGTTCACTTGCATGCATGTCAAACGGCACAGAGTCTAAGCCATCAAGTGAAAGTCGAAAACGCCAATGGTATTACTATGTTCATTAGGATAAGAGCGGGTTTTCCGCCCGTCTTGTCATGACACCCATTTATACAATCCATTCCCCCCGCCCGTCCGGGCCTGGTGGGAGTTTTGTCTCTAATCCTCTCTCTACCTGCTTCCCCGTCGTGGAGGAGCACAGAGAACGTTGTTTTTTTTGCCTTTGTTGGCATGCTTTTCCTCGCATGCTGGTGTCGCGTCTTTTTCATTTCGCTTTCCTTTCTTCCTCGTCGCCTGCTCTATCCAGGGCACACATAAACAAGCCGTCATCACCTGCTCTTCTCCTTCTTGCTCTTCTTGTCCTCCTTCTTGCACTTGATGCTCTTCACCTCGTGCTTCACCCCCTCCGCCGTCGCCTCGATGACCAGCGCGCTGAGCTCCCCGCCGTTGACGCAGCCCGAGTCGAGGCCGAAGGTGTACTTGTCGATGTTGAGGCCCTTCTTCGAGTCGTGGCCGTAGGCGACGGCGGTGCGGGGCTCGTTCTCGGGCAGGCTCTTCTGGTGCTTGTTCCAGGCCTTGGGCCAGCTGCTGGAGCCGTCGCGGCGGTCGGTGGGCACGGCGATGACGCGGTCGTCGGGCTTGCGGCGGCGCTCGTGCTCCTGCTCGATCATGTTGTCGGTGATGCCCGGCGCGGCGGTGTGCGTCTTGCGGTACTCCTCGAGGGCGTTCTTGGCTTCTTGGCGGCGGAGCTCCTCGCGCGGGTAGACGAGGCCGCGCATGTTCATGACGGCCCAGGGGTCCTGGGACTTGAGGGCGAGGCCGGGGACGAGGCCGGCGTGGACGACGACGAGGTTGCCGAGGGACTCGATGGTGCCGGCGTCGAGGATGACGGGGAGGGTGGAGAGCCAGTCGATGTGCTTCTTGGAGAGGGATTTGGCGGTGGCGCGCTCGGCGGAGTCGCCGTGCGGGAAGACGGGGAGCTCGAGGTCGTCGTCGGTGTCGTTGTCGTTATTGTCGTCGCTGTTGTCGTCGTTGTCTTCGTTGGAGGCGGCGGGGCCGTCGACGGGGTTGCCGTGGGCGTCCTCGTCGGCGACGTGGGTCTTCTTCATGTTGCGGTGGGCGAGGAGGACGCGGTCCTCGTGGTTGCCGCGGACGGCGGAGGCGCCGAGGCGCATGGCGAGATCGACGACGCCGCGGGAGTCGGGGCCCTTGTTGACCATGTCGCCGGCGAGGACGAGGTGGTCGCCGCGGGCGGTGTCGAAGGCGAGGTCGGCGAGGAGGGCGTCGAGGGAGGCGCGCATGCCGTGGACGTCGCCGACGATGACGAGGCGGCGGCCCGGGTTCGCGCGGGAGGGGACGTGGCGGTCGGGGAGGGTGCTGATGTGGACGGAGAGGTCGGTGAAGCCCGGGCGGGCGGTCTCGCCGTAGGACATGGGCGCGTCGGCGGGCGAGGGTTTCGGTTTGGGTTTTGACTGCTGGCGGCGGATGGAGGGGAGGTCGAAGGAGGCGAGGCGGGCGGCGGCGAGGAAGAGGGTGGTGATGATGAAGAAGGCCGCTATCAGGATGAGGCCGCGCCGCGGGCGGGACGGGGCTGGGAAAGACATCTTTGCGTCTAAGTGTGCGTGTTCTCCCTGGGCCGGCGGTCTCGCGTGAGTGTAGGCTTTGGCGGAGACGTCAGAGTCGTTCCTCCTCCTGAGGAGTGTGCAGGTTGGCGGAAGATGAGGATCGGGGACTTCGAGGCTGAGGCTCGGTTTGGGTTTGGTGAGGGTGAAGCCTTCCCGTGCGTAGGACCGAGCTAAAGGGGCAAGCTTCGTTTCGGGCGGCTGTTTTCCTTGGGGGCGGCCGACCGTTGAGATTGAGTCTGGTTTTAGGTCGCCTCTGGCTTCGTGTGCCTTATCCCAACGTCGTGGTTTAGGTTAGGGGAAAAGCGTAAATGGGTGCCGATGAAGCCGGGATGGAGGAGTCGGGGGCGGGAGCGGCGCGCGGGTGGGAACAGATGGGATTTTGAGTTGGGTTCCCTCTTTGCCTCTAATCGGATGCGCTTCCTTCAAGGGGGTTGGTTGGTTGGGTGGATTAGGTTATCGTGAAGGCAAAGGGATTGATGTGTGGTTTGGGGCCATATCAAGGAGGTCTGTCGTCGTAATCGTTCGTTAAACCCTGGCGTTTCCGCTTTATTGACCTGGGTTTGGGAAAGGATGAACATAGACGGCGCGCAGGAGGGCGGGGGAACGTGAGAAAAGGACAGGCGCGAGGAGAATGAAAGACAGGTGCAAAAAATAAAGACTATCTCCCAGGCCAAAGGAAAAAGAGGAGGAGGAGGAGTAAGACCAAAAAACCGAGATGCCGTGCAGCAGATTTCGCCAAGGAGAAGAAGGCGGCCGGAGAGCAAATGCCAAAAAAAAAAATGATGCGATGCTCCTTCCTGCTGCTGACATTCTGGATTTGGATAATACGGGGCGCAGGGCCAAGGGGTGTTGAGGGGGCCGCTGCCGCGCTGCTCGCTGTTTACGAACAGCCAAGGGGAGCATTTTGGTGGTGGACTGGGAAAGTCGGCACGCGACGTGGCATGCGACCCCTGTCGTCTCCCGCTGGGCGGTCCGTCAGCGGCGTGTCAACGTCCTCTTCCCAGCTACTGCGTGAGATGCGCTGTAGCCTGTGGAGGATTCGCAGCTGGTCTCGCCCAGCCCGGTCTGATTGGTTTGGGGACGTGATTGCGGCGGGGCGGAAGCGAGCTGGGGAAAAGGGATGTGGTGGATTAGTAGGAACGGATGGGAATTGGGGAGTTCCTCTGTTCGCCTTTTTCGACAGCGACTTTGCTGGGTTCGTCACCGATGATGGGGAAGCATCCCCGGTGCTTAATTTTTCTGCCTTTCGATAATCAACGGCCAAGATAACTCAATTCGTCTTGTGGAGGCTGTAGAAAGTTGGTCCCTATCGCAAACGATCTACAGGGGAGGCTGTGTATCACAGGGCAGGCACTTCCCATTTTCCACTCCGCGAAGATGTTGAACTTGGGCAAAGCAGAGGAATGCCTTGCCTTGCCGTCCTGCCATTGTCTCAGTTCCCAAATTCCGTCCCGTCGCACGCTTACGTATTCCCGCCGCGTTCTGCCCGTATGTCGTGCTACGCTTTCCGCCGCCTGCATGCGCTGTCATTTGTCTTCTGCGCGTGTCCCGCCGTCGCTTCATTGAATACCAAGACCTTGGGTGGTCCTATGCCAAGTACGTCATTGCGGCACGGATGGTTCCTTTGTGAAAGACCCCCTGCCTTTTCCTGCAGTCGGTCTCCTCCGATCTATGCCTTTTTGGAGAGGTTGGGGACTCAGGCCATAGGAGTGTCAGCGGAACAGACTGCGGAGTTAGGATCATCAGGTTGATGATACTGCACTCGAGAGGTCTTGTGTAGTTCACTAGATCGTTGAGACGTTGAAACGTTGTCAAGCGGCTACGAGAACTTTGGGCTAAAGAGTCAACGGGTGCTAGCTTTGCCGCTGTGGTCAGTCCCACGTCTGCACCGCTGAACTCTAACATAGTGGGGGCCGCAGAAAGAAGAAAAGGCATTGCAGATATTCGCAGGGTCTTGCGGATCTCTTTTGAAAATTCTAATTAACATGACATCGTTGAAGAGTCATAGCGTTGACGAACTACCTGTCATTCCCTTTTACCAGATTTCCAGGGAAAAGGCCGCCAAAATGCCCTCAAAACTGTCACTAAAAACTGAAAGACGTAGCAATCCAGAAGATCATGACATCAAGTAGGTACGGATAACTCGTTCAAATAGTCTCAAAAGCAAAAAGTTTTGACCAGCATGGGGGTCGAACCCACAATCTCCTGATTCCACTGTATATCGTAGTCAGACGCCTTGCCATTGGGCCAACCGGCCAAGACAATTGAGAATGCCTGAGGCACCCGTCTTGCTTGCAGGAACCTGCTGTGATTCTAACTAAGTAGCCCCGACAAATTTGTCTGTTTATCTATTACACGTTTTTCATGTCGTTCCTCAGTTTTCACCATCGTCATATAGAAGAAGCATTTTTCAGCTTTCTCTGTATGTTACAACCATTAGTTCAACGCCTATCCAACTTGCTCAAATAACCTATTAGAAGACGCGGGATCGGGGCCAGCGCAGCAAGAATTCCAGTGCTCAACTACCTTGGTGTGCGTCGTCGAAAACATTGGCCCGAAAAAGTTATATGAACAACGTACGATCGCAGCATAGAAGTATAGGCTGAGAATTCAAGGATTTTGTGCTCTTGATCTGTGATGTTTCACTTTGGTGACTTTATCAGAAATTCCAATTAAGGCCGAATTGGTCACTTCACAGGCTCACATGGCTTTTGCCGTTGTTGTGCCTTTAAGCAACCTTAAGTGGTACATAGTCACGTTAAAAGAAGTTTTGCTGAATCCATACAATATAGTTGTTTTGAATTCTCTCTAGCTTAAAGCCTTCCCGAGATCACCACGAATGGGGCCGTCTCTGGCCTTCGTCGTTTCGGCATTCACAACATGGAACAGCCGTTTTGTTCAAGCCATGACCTACTCCGAGTCAACTTCGGTTCATCCTATTTTCCATACAAAGCAATAACGTTCACCTCTTCTGTAAATACCTTAAGACGTTCAGCATACAGCAAGTGGACACCGTTGCAGCCAAGACAACACATCCGGGCAAACGAAGGCTCTTCTCATCGCAGTCCTTGGACCTCGCGGCACAGGCAAACCGACCTTCATCAAGTCTATCACCGACTCTAAGCCATTCCATCTCAGATGAACGCCCAAGCTAGATGCTACGAACCTCAGCCCTGGCAGGGTAGAATACGCCACGTACCGCTTCAACTGTGACCGGCACGAACAGACTGCTACTGTCTGATTGAGTACCCCTGAACTCATACAATCAGACGGCTCAGAACCAGATGCCGCCGAGATTCAATGCATCCAGAGATTCGTGAAGCGCAACAGACGTAAGCTGAGCAGCATCATCCAATTCCATTGTGGCTTTGCAATGCACCAGAGGCAAGTTTGGAACCGTCACATTTCAGCAGTTGAATCCTGCATGCGGGGTCGTAACAATCTTCAGTCATTTCTCCTAACTTTTGCATTCTCTAAGCGTCTACGATTGTAAACCTCAAGTTCAGGTGAGCCTGGTCCGGTTTCAAAGTCGAGTTCCCGGTCAAGTCTAAGCTTGCGTATGACGCCCATATTACCACTTCCTTAATGTTCTTCATGCCCAGTTCTTCTTTGTGCTGAATGAGCATCCAGGCCGTAGAGGCCCCATGAACACTCCCAAGAATTGCAAAGCCCTCCTCAGTGTCCATTGAAAACGTAATACGCTCGTTCCAGGTAGGGATCTTCGGGTGCCCTCCTCTACGTAAAGCTTCCACGACAATCTGGAAAGTCTTATCGTTGAGAATATGTGATCGGAAGACGATCTTTAGACCCTTAATGTCAGAGCCTTTAGCTGAACAGCCGTCTTTCCACTGAAAGTAGGCAATGTCGGACACGGTATCCAGGTCTGGAACGTCTCCACGCCCTATCTCCTTTTTAGCCCAAGAAGGACTGAAGTTTGAATCGAAAATGAACGTGCCGTCCTCTGGGTTGACCACGTTGGAATACTTCCCAAGTGTTGGCTAACTAAACAGTACGTTAGTATGTACGATACACAACCGAGACTCGTGTGATTGAGCCTTACCTGTCCCAATTGACCGTTCGCTAGCCTGAACGGGCGATCGTGAAGAACATGCCAAACCATGTTTAGCGTTGGATGGACAGGATAATCCGGGTCTTTGAATGCTTCGTCGAGAGCGTCCTTGAATGCAGGCCGGTGGCTGCTCATCATGTACGGGTAGGGATTGGGGGTGGGCGACCATCCCCACCTAATCATCTCATTCGAGTTTTGGAATGGGCTGGCAACTGTGACACCGCCATTGAATTCTTGCGCTTGAGTAGGACTCAGTGGGAGGAGATCCTTTAGGTACTGGCCCTTTTGAACACGGCCTTCGTAGGTATCTGGAAACGATGGAAACGGTTGCTTCACTCGCTTGGCGAGATCGTGGCGGGGGAAGAGCGCATTTCTAGTCGCTGGAGTGAGGACTGCTCCAAAAGCTGGTGCAAAGTGAAACAATGATAGATACAAGAACAACAGCCGTAGAATTCCCAACCTAAGAGAGTGAATTGCGGGAGACATTGCTGCAAAGTAAAGACTGACAAGTAGTTGGAAGACGTGGCTGCGGCATGCAGAGCAAGTGGATGCCTTCACATCATGCGCGGCACTGTGTCCTTTAATAGGCAGCTTCAGCCAAGAATGATCAGCTTCAAACGTTCCTGTTGCTAGATGATATCAATTAATTCCCAGACCGGGTAACGTGTATAGGGGTCCGGTGGCGCCGGGCCGGAGTGGCCCGCACCGGAGTGACCCGCCCCCGGAGCGGAGTGGCCGTTCCTTAATGAATTGCGCCAGAATCCCTATCTTGGCACTAATTCTACCTGTCTGAGTGCAGCGTACTGTCAAAGAACCCTCAGCACTCTTTGTATGCTCCCGGGGCCCTGGCGAAGTAACACGGCGGAAAAGCGATTCCGAGGCTCTCGCAGAGCCCGAGAAGAGTTGATCGGGCTTTGGCCCGTAACGGAGTAAATTTAGGGACGTCACTTCCGAGATCAATGCGCGCAGTTGATTAACGCAGTGGGACCTGCAGGAGAGTATGATTCGTTCCAAAACTTTTCGCTATCGAGGCGGGTAGTTGGCGTAGACGACAATGGGGACGACAACGACGACGACGAGAGACGACGACAGGGATAGGAAAACGGATAGGGACAGAGACGACATGGACGACAGGGACGAAAAAAAAATATTGGTACATGAAACAAAGTATTAGACCTATTATAGGTAGTTATCTTCCGGTTCGCTAGACTCTATTCCAATGATGTAAGAGGTAAGTTCTCTGAGAGACTCTTTCTACTGAATTAGGCACATACAATCAGAGCGCTGCGGCTAAGCCAGGTAGGAATGATACTCATGCCGTCGACATCGTTAGATGTGCGTGAGGGTTTGGAGTCAAAAAGATCGAAAGAAGGTCTACTGAAGTAGTAATTTACTTAAGTCAAAGCCGTGAAGTAGTCGTTGAAGTAACCTTGAAAGAGATGAACTTGTCGACGATGTTGTACGTAAAGGGATCACGTGACCAGTAGCAAGTTGGAGATTGTTGCAGTATCTACAAGCTCTATGTAAAAGCTCACAGTAGACATACCTGTGGCCAGGAGTTTACGGAGTCAGCCGGCAAAGCAGGCGGAAAGACGGCTCCAAGTTCGCGGACAATCAGCGGATGGGGGGCCGATGCAATCGGCCAGGAAGAAAGGGCTGGAGGAAGCAGCACCACCCTTGCTGATGCCGGTCTGCCGTGCCGTACCCGTATCTAACGTGGAAACCCCAGCGAACAACTTCGCAACTACAGCAAACCAAGGGCTGACTCTACATACAGTTTTAAAATCTTCAGGTGACTCGCCAAAAGAAGGAGCACAAATCAAGACCAACATGGTCACAATCTGTTGCCAAAGACATCCAATCATCGTCACACAGGCACACCCACCGTCACGTCACACAGAGACACCGTCAGCATGGTCTTTTCAGCTCGGGCAGCCATCCCCGCCTCAAGCCGCGCCGCTAAACACGCTCTCTATCTCGCTCTCAGCCCTAGCACCAAACGAACCCGTTCATCCCCCCAATCACGCAGCTCCCCCGTGACGGCATGCGTTGATGATCATCTTCCTGCCGGGGCGGTTCCAAATCTTCTCCCGTTCGCTTTCTCTTGCGCTTTCCCGCTTGCCCACCGCCAATCTCGCGTTAGCAAGAAAAAACAAGAAACCAAGGAATAGCAGGCCGCAGCAACAAAATTGGATTTGCAACACGCGGACAGGCAGCAAGATTGCAGTGCAGGCTCAGCACACCGACGTGTCCCACGTAGGAGGCAAAAAGAAGGCTGAGCTCAGACATGGGTTCTCTGGGTTCAAAGGTCGTCAAACTCACTAAGCTTTACCCACCTCTCGAGCTCTCCCAAGCCAACACAAAACCAATAATTTAAACAGCCCAGGACCCTTGGAAAAGCATCAGCCCTCTAAAATTACCCGTTGCCCCATGTTCACAAATAATCTCCCCCCTCCAACCCCTGCATCTTCCCGTGTCCGTGGCTTGCTGCGCGCGCTTTGAGAAGGCTTGTTTAGCTGCCTAAACGCTGCGCATAGTGGGTTCAGGTGCGCTGGACACTGGAGAACTGCTGGCCCTCCCCGGCCGTCCGAGTCCGAAGGAAGCCAGTTCGTCGGTTCGTCATTGAAGACCTTCACTTACCCAACTGGGTACCCGAAATCCTTCAGCTGCGCTAGGCCAAGAGAAGGCGGCGGCGGCGCTGCGGCTGCGCTGGGAAGCTAAAATAATTTGGCTTTATCCCGCGCGAAAAAGCCAAGCTTTCTCTCCTTCTTTACTCTTGCTCTTTTTTCCCCATCTTCTACAACTCAAACTCAACCAGGAATGCTGCGCTTGTGAAAGGACTTTTTGCGTCAGATACCCACGCCAGCGACGCATCGAAGGAGGAGCAAGAGAAGGAAACCGGGAGAGAGAGAGTGTGTGAGAGAGAGACACACACAGATGAGAAGAGAGGCAAAGATGGGCACCGGCCAAGGACCCCCGAAGCAACAACAGCACAGTTATGCGCCTTACTCACCACCGCCGCAACCTCAATACTACGTCCAACCACCACCACCACAAAAGCCGCAATCGCCGTCACAGCAGCAGCAGTATCAACAACCACACTACGCGGCATACTCACCACCGCAACAAGCGCAGTACTTCTTCCCGCCGCAACAACCGCAATATGCCCCCGCCGCCCCGAAACCCACGTCCCCAGCGCCCCAGCAGCAGTTCCTCGCCGAGTTGGAGGCCCCGCAAGCCCCGAAACCGAGACCGACGTCATCGTCATCCGCCACCCAGAATGGAGGAGCAGCAGCGCTCCCCGTATTCGAAATGTCCGCTGAGGCCGTTGCCCCTGCGAGGCCCCAGTCTGCGAGGCCCCAGTCTGCGAGGCCCCAGTCTGCGAGGCCCCAGTCTGCGAGGCCCCAGTCTGCGAGGCCATCGTCGCCCGCTGCCGGGGCTGCGAGCACGTCGCCAAGCGTGAGCGTGAGCGACGCGCAGCAGAAGCCGCTTCCGCAGGCGAATCCGTGGGGCTTCTTCCTAGAAGACGACCCCCTTCCCCCTACCGCCTCGACACCACCACCGCCAGGTCCCGGCAAAGAAGGACACGAGGACGAAATGCTCTCTGTGAAGCCGTTGAGAATCGTCAAGACTGGGCCCGGCTCAGCTCAGCCCTCGCCGGAGCAGAAAGCGACAGAGGGCTCGCCAGGGGGCACACCGCCGGCCGGCACCGTGCTCTCGGAGCCGCCTCCACCACCCTTGGACCAACAACAGGGTGCGCACGAAGGCGATGACGACTCGGACCAGCTGGCCCCGGCGCCGTTGAATATCTCTCGGCCCCAGCCGCCAACCGGGCCCCCGCCCCCGGTCCCGGTATCTACCGCAACCTCCCCCGTGCTGATACCGCCGGCCGGCACATACCCAATCCCACCGGCCGGTACTTACCCGCCCCATAGCCCGATCAGCCCAGGTCGGCACCCATCCCCGGGCGGTGGTGCTCAGACGACGCTGCCGCTCCACCCCCGCCCGTCGAGCACCTCTCCTCGCAGGCCACTCTCGGCAACGACGCCCTCGACTGCGGTCGTCACGCCCCTTTTCCCCATTCACACGGGAGCTACTACCGCCCCGTCGCCACAGCAAACCCCATACGCCGCCGTCATCTCACCACCCACGGGATACTCGCAGGCTCCCCCGCAGCAAGTCTACACCTCCGCCGCGCCCGTGAGCCCCGTCCTGGTCCAGGCCGCGCTGCCACCCACACTCCCCTTGGGCTCCTATTTCCCCCAGCAGCCGTCTTACGCCCGCCCAAGCACTGCTTCGTCCGCAACACACAGCCCGGCAGTGTCCACAGCCCAAGAACCCCAGCAATCCGCCTACGCCTCGCCGCCCCCCTCCTACGACCAGGCAATCTCCTCCCTCCCACGCCCGGCAAACGCCTCCTCCTCCCCGGCCTCGTCCCACGCAACATTAACGGGGCCACTCTCGCCGAACCCAACAGGCTCCTCTTCCTCCTCATACCCCTATTCTCCCGCAGACATCGGCGTCCAAAACCAGAACCAAAACCAAAACCACCCGCCGCCGCAACAATACCCCTACAGCCCGCAACCCCCCGTCCCCCAGCCGTCCTATGTCAATGGGCCTCAAAGCTACACAACCCCGCCTCCCCTCCCGCCGCGGACCTCGACCCCGACACAGCAAGGCTTCACCAACAACACACCGCAGAACCCGTACGGCCCGCCCCCGCCCCGGCCCGCCAACTACCACCCCGCGCCGCCCGCCAAGCCCCCCTCGGGCAACATCTTCAGCAGCACCACCGTCCGCAACCTGCTCAACAAGACAACCGACTTCGTCGACCAGACCATCGCGCCGTACCTGCAGGAGCACCGCTACCGCCCGCCCTACTTCACCCAGTACCCGCCGCAGGGCTACCACCCGCACCAGCAGCAGGGGTACCAGTACGGCAACGGCTACGGCTACGGCCGCGGCTGTCCGTCCGGTAGGCCGCTCCAGCCGGGGCAGTACGGCTACTCGCAGGCGCAGTCGCCGCCGCAGGGCTACACCCCCCCTTCACAACGTACGTGAGCAACACCGTCAAAGTTCCTTGGGGAGCTGGAGTCAAGTGATTAACATGGGTGACGGTTGTAGCAACGTACGCGACGACGCCTCAGGCCGCTCGTGAGAACCCTGACGTGCCTTCTCGTCCCACTTGAGGAGGGAAGGCGAGGAGGCCTTGAACAACACACGAGACGAACACTCGGGACGCAAATTGGCAGAATCTCCCACGGCCTTGTGGACTGATACGCACTCGACGCTACAGATATATTGCCGAGAGCACGAGACGGGCCACGATATATGGGACGAGGCGCCGACCCCGAAAGGCGGCAAGTCTGAAGGAAAGCGAGGTTTGCCCCGGCATTTGAGTCAGACGATGGTTAGATCGACGCGCGCGCCTCAGGGATATTGTCAAGGCGGCTGCCGGAGCACCTAAGTCCTCAAGATGCACACTTACACGCACCAAGTCAAGGGCTATTGAGGATTCATCAGAGTGCCAATCTACAATTCACTTGAATTGTTGACGCGAATGTCGCGTCGAGTTGCTACTAGTAGCCACCAGCATTTACTCCCAAAATAATGTATCAAATCTCATCCGGCAAATGCCAAGGAAAGAATCCGCTCGGACCGAGTGATGCCCGTCATTCGCACGTAGTGAATCTTATGATCCAAGATTTTGCAAGAGCTTCTTGAAGGCTATGTGTCCCTACCTCATTTCAAGATCTAGCGGCATCGCCGGCAGGGGAACTTGGCACCCTACTCGTGCAGAACCACGTGGTGGCAGCGTGCGGGACGGGAGCAGGGTCAAGCCCATGCCGAACCGGACCAAGCATGTAGTACCGAGGAGTCGGGATCGAGAGCGATTGACGTTGGGATCGATGTGGAGTTAGGCTCCATGCCGCTGCGTGCAAACGGGTAATCGAGAGGGAAGACGCACTGGGGACGGGAAGAAGAGAAAGAGACCTTTGGATTCGTGTGTCGTGTGTCGTAAGGTTCATCTCAAGTTTCGGCCTGCGCGGGCAAAGACTGAGACAGAGACAAGACTCGAGTCAGGGGATTTGCCATTGATGTACGGTAGATGGAGCCTTATGACGAAACTTCGCCTCTTGCGCTTCCACTTGGACTGCTGGGTGCAACTGTGTGCAGTTGCTTGCTGTTGAAGATTTTTTTTTGGATGATCAGAGTCCGTCTTTGGTCAGCAAGTTATTGACAGTGCAGGTAAATTCGGCGACAGCCTGCGATGTCAAATACAGATGTGGCTGTCGTAAACTCGGCCAGGGCCCCCGGCCGGTCTTCCCTTAGCTCCATTATACCGAGGATCCGGAGGGTGGTAAGGGTGGTGAAAGCGTTCATGGCTTTGCAGTGCGGCCCGGAGCATAATGTGGGATGGTCCGACGGCGTTTCAAGGCCTCGGGACCGGACATGGGGCGCGGGTTAGCCTCCCCCCAGAGCCACATACCAGAGAAGGGCTTGGGTAATTGAAGGGGCGGGAGAAGGAAAAGCGCATGGCGGTCAGGGCCGTTTCGGCGGCTATCGTGTGTCAGCGTCCGGATGCACGCTTAAACTGGTCCCCTCACTCATTTGCGCGGTCGCGGCGCGAGCGCGTCAACCGCGAGCTTGCGTCTGTGACGAGTGAGTGACCGTACGTTCAGTCAGGCTATTATGATGGCCGATCTTGCGAGTGAAACCTGCGCAGCCTGCTGTGCTAGGCCGAACGTGTTTCCCGTCATCCAGCTCAATGGCATGCAGCCGGCATCTTGTGACTTGGGCATTCTGGAGCGGACGCCTGGAAATAGGCAAAATCAGGCAACTCGCAGATTCGGTGAGCACGGCGCCAAGCAGCCCTCGGAGCCAAAGGCGAACCAGGGCAAGCGGATCGGTGTTGCTGATGTGGTGGAGTGCCCCCTCCGTGAAGTAGACGCCGCCGGTGGATTGGCCGAGGCGGAAAATCCGACAGCGATCGGCGTTGGCTAGAAGCACATCGACCTTTGGTTGAACGGTACTCTGACCTCGGAATGGCTTGGCTTTGCGGGGGTCCTGGAACCATCGGCAGCGACTGGCGTATCGTTGCGGTACACCTGTGATCCTGTTGATGCTGCTTGTCCGGACCCTTTGGCTTGTGTGTTTCACGGCAGCAGGAATTCAATGGACGTCAGAGCTGCTGAGCTCCCCGAGCAGATTTGATAGATGGAGAGAATCCATATCCGCCGAAGGATTGTGGAGAGACGGTTGTTCCGGCGGCGTTGGCGTTGAGCTTCTGAAGTACTCTAGTAGAAGCTCCAATGACAGGCTTCTTCGATTCTGAGCGATGGTCGGCTTTCGGCCGGGTGCGGACTTAGCTTCTGCTAGCCTGGACATGCCCGTCGTCTCAAGTGACGGTAGGACAAAGCTGGGGAGAGCGTTCGTTGGCTTGCCGAGCACGGCAAGTGACGTTTCTGAACCGACACTATGGAGACGGACTCTCACACCGTCTCTCTCTTTGATGCGTTCGTGCGGTACCAATGTATCAAGGACCCATAGCGCTGCCAACGGCGGTGAGCTTCCAGAATACCATGACCATCCATCTGCCGCTTCTCGAACGTCTTAATTTAGGACAACGATATGCACTCGAGCTGCAGATTCCAGGGTGGGAAGCGAGCTCACTCAGGAATGATGGCTTGGCGCACGAGAAGCGTATCCGCAAGACGCATTTCTCAGTCTTCTGGAGGCCGTCTCATTACCTCGTTTATGCCGATTGCCGAGTTTAGACGAGTGCACTGAGATAATTGCAACAGCACCTTTGCGTCTGCGAGGATGCATACCTCAAACCGACAATCGGAATCTGGCCGAATGGATAGAAGAAAAATATTTTGTTCAAGCGACCTATTCAAGCGATCTTCGAGTTTCGAGCGACATGTATTGGCGAGGCTGTACTGTAGCGGACGCATCAAGCGTTATTTTGGAGTTCATGCTCGAACTCGCAATTGGAAATACAGTTATCTCGGTGTCAGCCGGGCCGCAAGACAGGGCGTATTACCGGGAGCGAGCGCTTCCATTAATTCCCCAATATGCACGGAATACGATTTCAGTTGCGCAAGAGGCTAGGGATCGCAGTCCAGGATTGCTGCCCGACCGCGAGACAGCTGACAGGGGTCGACCGTTCGGACGTCTGAGTCGTCGTTGCCGGTCATCAGTGGGCAAAAAGCTGGATTTTAAAGGAACCAAATCATGGTTAAGAGAGCGCCGAGCTTACGAGCTGTTGGCTTCCTTTGCTCAGACTGCGAGGCACAAGAGACCAGCTCCAGCATGTCTCTCCTGCCCCTTTGACCGGCGGTCAAAGCCATTGGCGAAGTCTGGGGTGAGAGTGACGTGGGAGCCGTCGAATGGGTTCCCTGCCAATTAGCCATGCGACGCCACAGCTTGCTGCTCCGACGCCTGACACGTCTAATAATGATGAGCAAAGGCAACGAGTGAGCTACGCAGCTGAGATGCGGTCGGCGATTGGCGGTTGCATCGCAGGCTTCTGTCTGCTTTGTGTATCGCCAGATATGGGGTGGAAGGCCATGGAGAAAATCAATTGTTGCCGCCCCTTGTCGAAGATCCTTTGCTGGTCCAGGAGGAGGGGGAGAAACAGGGGGTTTGGCATTGGGATTTGATTTCTCGGACGTCAGCACAGCGAAATCCGAGAGGGTGTCGTTGCATGACGGATGGGGGCGGTACGGTGCTATGCTTGCTTCAGCTCCCCGTACCGTCAATTATGGCACGGTGGTCGGCAGCACCACATCGTTTTGTCTGTTCTCCATGGCTAGGTCGGACGAACGAGGCCTAGGTATTCGTTTCTTGGAATTGACAGGTCGATCCAATTGTGTTGCTGGCTTGAGAGACGTTTGAATTGTGGTCTCCTGACCGACTTCTAGATTCACATTTGAGTTTGAGCGTCCTCATTTAGCAGCGCAGAATCGACTAATGGCGGTGAGGCTCTCGCTGGCGGGCGATTAGTGCATCCTACCTTGGCGGGAGCTGCATCACCTGAGGGATTAGCAAGCGGTGGCATCTGCGGCAGGGACGATACGTGAGGGATTGATATTGGTCCTGGAGTAATATGCCGGGCCGTATTGGAAATTGGCACCGTGATGGCTTTGTGCCAGCAGATTGGGAGCATCCAAGATTGTCGTTGGAGATGCGGTTAGGTCGTGCGCAAGGTACTGCCCCGGGGTCAAGGTCGATGGTTAGTGACGATTCGCAAGGGCGTATGTATGTTTCGCCCTTGCGGGAGGTCGTGTGAGTCTGCGAGAGACCTGCGCAGTGGGTGTGGTTCCTGAAGAATTGGTTCGCGCCCTGCATGTACTCAGGTACGCGGGCTTAGCTGTCATTGTAGCTGTCGCTGACGTTGCGGGAAGGGTATTCGCGGGTACCAAAGTGGAATTTGATGAGCAGGCTGTTGGCTGTTGGCTGCGATGGAGACCTGACGACGACGGGACATGGCCGGTGAACAAGGGCGCGTCTATCGGGGAAAGGGCGCTCCCAGATTGCAGCGCAGCGCGGTTGCGGGCTGGGCCTTTGAGTTGAGAGCGGTGCGGCATGGGAGGTACGGAAAGGTATGGGTGGGATTCAGGGTCCATCCCGCGGCGGCGCTTTCGCCCCTCTCGCATCATTCCGTGTCATAGATGCGGCCCCGAATGGCGTAGTGTAGGCTCGGAGGGTAAAGTATCTCGGGTTTGTTCCCTGAATTCCAGACTGTTGTTCCGAAAGCAGTTCAGGGAGACAGGGTTCGTGGATGTTCTTGGGGTGGTCGTTAGGTCGGTTCTGAGGCTTTGGAATTTCCCCCTTTGGCGGGGTGGAACAGTAACGGGGGTGGACCGTGGGCCTTGGGTTCAATGGGTTGCTCAGGGCCCAATGTCTTGTCCAGGTATTCCCCGTCGTCGTCTGGTGGAAATGCGTTCATTGCATTGAATTGCGTGGCCAGTGCGTTGTTGCAATGTCGAGATGGCTCCAGGAGAGGCGAGATAGCATGACGAAGACCTGATGCTTGGCCAGTCCACTCGCAATCCTCTTTCCGCAGAGACGGGATGCCTAACCGGTTCTCGAAGGGAAGGCTGGCTGGTTGGCTGGCAGACAGACTGGCAGAGCTGACCTGAGCTGAGCTGGCAAACGTTGGCTTGGCTTGACTAGCGTAGCACCTAATTGAAAGGTAGACATGCAGGCACTGATCAGACCGGGCTGAGGTTTGAGGTGGTCGGTTGGCTGCAGCCAGCGTGGTGTTGATGTTGATGCTGATGTCAGGGCGTGCCCTTGTCGTAAGTTGGTCTGCTTATTCCTCCTGCCTTGCTTCCCTTTGCTCTGCCGTGCCTCAGATGGAGTGGCCGACACGGCAACCTAGAACGAGATTGACAGCAACAAGGGAAAGAAGATCAAAGCTGCCCGACAGTGATGAAGAAGAGGCTGGCTGAGGTCACAGACCATCAGTCAATCATTGCTGGAGCCCAGCGAGGTGGAATTGGAAGCTAAGATAGCCGGCTAGACAGTGAGGAGCAGAGGTGGACAAGCGAAGGAAGGACCACCTGCCCCTGCCCCCCAGATGCGGTCCTTCCACCAAGAGCCCAGCATTTCCATTTCCGATGGAATCGTGAAGTAAAGGCAAGCACCGCCGGGAAGGTACCTGGCGACCGGCACCGCCTGCCCGGCGCAGATATCGTGATGATCGGAGGAGGAAGGACGAACCAGGCAGGAGAGAGAAGGTACATGCTTTACCCAACCAAAATGGCGTGCATCGTCACGTACCTTATCCCGTCTTTTACGGAGTATTTCCATTCGAAAGGTGATGCCCAAGGGACGGGGATTCGTTCGGTAGCACCATCCTCAGGTAAGAAGGTAGGTAGGTACCTTTGGTGCTTGGCTCCGGCCTCTTAAGCGACCGGGACAACAATGACGGGACGCTACCGTACCCTGCCTGGGCTGGCCTGACCAAGTACCCGCCCGCCTCAGAGGGAATAAAAAATAAAAAAAGGAAAAAAGAGCCCAGCCCAGCCCGGACCACCTCACCCACTCCGTGTGTGGTGTCCCTGTCCCGTCCACCTCTCTCACCCATTCAGTGCAGTGCGAGGTTGCTCCTCAGTGGCCCCCCCCGTCCCAGGTCCGCCGCCCGCTGCCCGCCGCCAGCCCTCCTGCCTTTTTTCGCCTCCACTTTGGGCTCCCATCCAGTCCCATTAAGGTACCCTTTTCCCTCCCCTTCTCCCTCTCCTCTCTAAACTCTCTTCCTCCTTCACCCCACGATCTCTTCTCGAGCCCTTGATTGCAAAGGCTGCAAATTGCCAACATCTCGACCTGTCCACCCCATTAGGACACGGCTTTCGTTGGAGAGGCTCCCACTCGAACAATCATCTACCACGAAATCCCTCTCCCGACTCGAGCTTCACCGCCAGTCCGATCCGAACTCCTCGTCTTCTCCGTCTCGACAGCCCATACTACCACCCGTTGGCCTCTTTCGTCACAGGTACCTCCCACCACCGAGCTCTTCCGTCTACATACATACCAAGCCATCACCGCTTCCGAACACCCAAACAATCCCACCAGCAATCAACTGGTAAGCCATTCTCATTCCCATGTTTGCTGCGTCGTTTGCCTCGAACGCATCACCGACAATGAATCCGTTCTCGGACTTGTCTTTCTGGTTGAAGCAGCGGCCATCCTCCGCCTGGCCTGCTGGCCTGCCTGCCTGTTCTAGCCTCGGGTTTACCGCCCGTAGTTGGCGGCGGCTCCGCTTTGCCTTGTTCAACCCGTCTCTGTTCCAGGCCTCCACTCTGCAACTCACCATTCCCTACCTTCTCCATCAGTCTAATGTCAAACCTCCAAGAATTTTTATTATCTCTTCATGCATCAACGCTGACACCTTCACCTCTAGTCCACACAGCTTTGTCGCTGGATACCGATCTCACTAGTCAATCGACACCCAAACCCACCTTTTTAATTGCTTCCTTCCTCTGGAAAGAAGCCTCTATTTCTTATCAGCCAAGATGACCACCATGGTAAGTTGACACTCTATCAGGCTGCAGAATCAGAGGTCTTGGGGCATTCTGGCTAGACGTCCTGTCGGGTAACCCCGTCTCGCGGCGTCTCTTTGAAGAACCCTACGCACTCTCTGCAATTTTCCCAAGCTTCGTGACTGATTCGTCTTCAGGATCTCCGTGTCGGTAACAAGTACCGTATCGGCCGCAAGATCGGTTCCGGTTCGTTCGGTGATATTTACCTCGGCACCAACATTATCTCCGGAGAGGAGATCGCCATCAAGCTCGAGAGCGTCAAGGCCAAGCACCCCCAGCTCGAGTATGAGGCCAGAGTCTACAAGTCCCTCGCTGGCGGTGTTGGCATCCCCTTCGTCCGCTGGTTCGGTACCGAGTGTGACTACAACGCCATGGTCCTCGACCTCCTTGGCCCCAGTCTGGAGGACCTCTTCAACTTCTGCAACAGAAAGTTCTCTCTCAAGACCGTCCTCTTGCTCGCCGACCAGTTGATTTCTCGTATCGAGTACATCCACGCCAAGTCCTTCATTCACCGTGATATCAAGCCCGACAACTTCCTCATGGGCATTGGCAAGCGTGGAAACCAGGTCAACGTCATCGACTTCGGTCTGGCCAAGAAGTACCGCGACCCGAAGACGCACTTCCACATCCCTTACAGGGAGAACAAGAACCTTACCGGAACCGCTCGTTACGCTTCCATTAACACCCACTTGGGCGTCGGTACGTCTCCGCGTCCTGCAAAACCGCAACTTTTTTGACCCTGGCTAACAATGCATCAGAACAATCCCGCCGCGATGACATGGAGTCTTTGGGCTACGTCATGCTTTACTTCTGCCGTGGATCTCTGCCCTGGCAGGGACTGAAGGCTGCCACCAAGAAGCAGAAGTACGATAGAATCATGGAGAAGAAGATGACCACCCCCACCGAGGTCCTCTGCCGTGGCTTCCCCAACGAGTTTGCCATCTACCTCAACTACACCCGCTCCCTCCGATTCGACGACAAGCCCGACTACAGCTACCTCCGCAAGATCTTCCGTGATTTATTCGTCCGCGAGGGCTTTCAGTACGACTACGTGTTCGACTGGACCGTTTACAAGTACCAGAAGAACGCCCAGGCCATCGCTCAGGCTGCTGGAGCCACCCAGGAGGAGGATGAGAAGGCTCGCGCTTCTCGCACCAACGCCGCTACTGCCGGTAAGTAAATCGTCATTGCCCTTGGTTGAACTTGTCTGACAATCTGCACAGGCCGTGCCGCGAAGTGATTGAACCAGGGTCTGGCCCTGATGTAAACATTCCGGATACCAAGCGTGCCGTCGGCGGAAGCGACTGGATGTAACGATGTTTTAGTGTGCGCTCGGCCTCGAAAAGCGCACCGTATGGCTTGAAATCTCGCCTGTCGAGATGGACATGGACAACGACAGCTATACACATCGGCTCATCTTCTGGGAGCATGGTTTGACCGGCTTACTGGTTTCATTCCTTCCGTGGCATGGCTATCAAGCATCACGATTGGTACTGGTTCTGCTCATCACCAGGGTCTTTCAGATGATACGCCTTGCCATGCGATTCGGTCGCACCTCCCATCTTTTCTTACGCATTCTCAAATTCGTTCTTCGACATGTCTGGGTTGTTTTTCTCTACATGGCTCGGTTCTTCATGACGAGGCAACCGTCTCCGAAGCGTCTGGCAATCTGCCGGATTTCGGGGATTGTTGTCTATAGCAGGAAGAACTTGAACGGCACGTCCAGTACCTCGCTTTCTGAGGTGCTGTCGTCGGGTCGCTCCGCGAGACATTCCCACACCACTCTGAGTGCTTTGGTCCTAGATCTTGCACCTGGTCGATGCGTTGGAGTTGCGTTTCACCGACGGATTTCTTTGGTCAATTTCCTTCTTTTCCTTTTCTTCTCTCTACTGGTCACGCGCGCTACGACTTGATTTTTATTCGATGGCTTCGCAATTGTCAATCACGCGTCGAGGCCCGCTTCTGGGGATGTATCACGGGGAAGGGGACGACATTGCGAAGGGCCGGTGGCTGTGGACGGTGTCGAGACAACACGAACGACGTACGAGTCGCAATCGACATCTCAACAGTGCGACGCGAGAAAACCTAATGGGGAGACTGAAATTGTTTTTCCTTGACTTTCCTTTTGATTTGGTTGGGGACTCGAACTTTAACACCTGCTCGTGGGATGTGTGGAAACGATGGCGATGCCGCGTTCTCATGCACAGCAACTACCAAGAGCTCTTGGAGGCAGCTCAGCACAGTCTTCGATGGCTCACTATCTTCAGATGACCCTTCTATCGCCGGTCACGCATGGTGTGTGGGCTCCCGTAGACAACGGCGCTGGGACTCTTCATACTGCGCCTTCATCACCCGTAGACCTGAATGGTTTGACAAGCTTATCAGTTGGTGGAGGCGGGGCACGGGTAGTTGTGGCAGGTCAGCAAGATGCGATGGAACCAACCAATATACGGCACGGTAGCTTCTCAATTTACAAATTGTCGCGCGATTTTTGCTGTGTGATGTTGGGGCGGTGTATGCATGTTGAGGTATTAACGGCGGTGATCTCATGCAACTAGGACTTTGCTCTGCAAGGGTAAGCAGGCTCATTCATATAATTAATGCCCGAGTGTATGAGCCCACGGCATCTAGTTGGCTGCTACCAACTTCGTGTTTTCTGCTCGGGGCGAAGTAAAGTAGGACTCGGTCCTTGACCCCGCTCTGGAGAAGACGCTATGTACGGGACGCGGAGAAGATGAAGTCTAGATCTGGCGAGTAGATAGCTTGGTGGACACTAGAGCGGTCAGGTTAGCAAGGAGGCTGTACAGGTCAGGTGCAGCCTCGCTTGACGCCTGTTGCCGCGTCTGACTCAACAGAAGCAGAAGTCACGGGAAGAAGACAGTACCTGGCTCATGAGGAGCGCTGAAGCAAGTGTCCGCCGAAAACCTTGCACCCGAAGCTAGGACTGTTCAGCAAAACAACAACCCAAGCTTCATCATCGTCACCATTATCGAACCAACATCCAGAAACAGGTTGGGTGCAGTGTGGCTGTACAGAGCATCTCGGGCACTTGTACCTCCACTTAGTGGCAAGATACGTAGGCGATTTCAGCACCACCCAAGCTTACTCTCCAGCAGCTTCATTGGATAAAAGCCAGCGCGGCCCAGCCAAGGTCCAGGATCTCTGCGCCAACTACAATCCCGCCGACCCGCCAACGACAGACGGCCCAGAGCATTTGGAGAACACCCGTCGTCAACCGTGATCGGCGTTTTCATCCTCCGACACAGATGGCTACCCTTGTCGACGACGTCAACTCCACCTCAACCGCCGTCAAGATGGCGCCCTCTACGCTCGACCTGTTCATGTTGACGTTCAATGCCGCCAAAAACTTTATCAATGTTGCCGTTTTTGCATCCCATCTGCACACAGCTTTCCAGCAGAATGGAACGGCTCTCCCTGACCTCGTCGTCTTGTGAGTTGCATGCCCTCGTGACCACCCGATTTCGCCCAATGCTGGGCTCGCAAAGGCATGATGAAGAGCTAACAGACGACGTTTTACAGCTCTCTGCAAGAGTTTGCTCCGATGACATACTCCTTCATCGGCGGCTATTTCTTGAGTCCGTACTTCGCCCGATACGAGGAGGCCTTGAACATTGCTGCCACCAGATACACCTCCTCAGGCGCCAGCGCTTCCTCCTCCGACGACACGATCACGGTGCAGCCTACAGCGGCGCCACTAGTGCGACCATACACTCTTATTCGCTCTCGCAATGTCGGTATGACCGGCATCATGCTCTTTGCACGCAACCCCGAGTCGATTCTGCGCGTGGAGGAGGCCGAGGTCGGGTTTGGTGCTGCGGAGATGGGCAACAAGGGTGCCGTAGCGCTGCGCGTGTTGTACGAAGGCAAGGCCGCAGATGGCGGGAAGAAGACGACAGAGCTCACATTCGTGGCTACGCATCTTGCCGCAATGGAGTGGAATTTGCCTCGGAGAAATGCCAACTGGGCGGCCATCATGCGCAGCATGACGTTTGAGAACCCGGATAATATCCTTAGCCCGAAGAAGCACGCCCTCAGCGCAGCCGGAGGAGGCCAGGCGGACGGTGCAGGCGAGGAAGGTGTGCATCTTCTGCACGACGACCACCACGAGCAGAGCTTGGCCCTTCAGGAACGCCTGCAGGACATTTCTGTCTTCAAGCCGACCTCCCACCTCTTTGTCGGCGGCGATCTCAACTACCGAATCTCTACCACCAGCCCACCGCCAATGGCGACGTTCCCGAGTCTCGACCCAGAGAGCGAGCACTTCTATTCCCACTTCTTCCCCCTGGACCAGCTGACGCGAGAGCGACTGGCTGGCAGGACACTGCACGGCATGAGCGAGGCGGAGGTTAAGTTTCCTCCAACCTACAAGTACGAAGTACTCCCCGAGGACGACACACGCCTCAAGGTCGACGGCGTCGAAGACGTGCCGTGGTTCTTTGCCCCCCACCGCTACCCCAGCTGGACAGACCGTATCCTGTTCCTTGACGTCCCCGGATGGGCCAAGGAGAAGTCAAAGATCGATGTCAAGACGTACGAAGCGATGCCCGTCGTCCGCAGCTCGGACCACAGAGCCGTGTACCTCAGGGCGGCAGTGCCGTTGCTGACCGAGGACGAGCTGGCTCCGGCTGGCGCGGTACAGGCGAGCGGTACTTCAGACCCTCGGCTCGTGTTGCCAGTGGCGATTGATCCCGAGGCCTGGGAGCGGCGAGCGGCGGCGAGAAGGAAGGAGGTTCTCGCCGGCTGGAGCATGTTCTTGTGGTCTACCAAGGAGGGCGCGCTGGTGCTCGCGACGCTGCTTGCCGTGGGTGCCGGTGCTTGGTGGTTTAGCCAGTGAGGGCGGTTTGATACCCTGTTGACGAGTTTCTGCTTGTTTTTACTTTTTTTTACACACAGATACACGACGGAAGAAGTCGCACGATATGAGATGAGAGGGGGCTGGTTAGGAGAAGAAGGAGCATTTGTAAAGGCGCGACGATGCATTGATACAAGCACGAGCATGAATATAGCAATTGAGTTATGTTGAGATGGCGAAAATAGTGTGGAGTGCTGATTAAGTTGAAGCTCAGTCCACACCTTGCTCACCTCCATATGTGCCTCGTGCAGGTTGTGGTTATTTCAAAGCCATAGCGGATATTGCACGGCTATGCTTCGTGTACGAACTACTTATTTCACGGACGATAATAACGACGACGACGACGACGACGACGACGACGGCAGTAGTAAAGAAGAGTAAGGTATACAACTACAGGAAAAGTAGTCGCTTTAGCACGGGGAAAATAGACGGTCTCTTTGCAAAGACCGTTCTTGCGCTTGTGTTGTTGAGAGTTCCATCTCATCGCGGGATGGCCCATGGTTACCATGCTCTCGTCAAGTGATTTCCCGCAACTCGTGTCGGAACAAACCATCACATTGGTCATAATACGAAATCACATACACCTCAACTCCGCTACGGAGTGAGTACAGTCGAGAGTTTCGGTAAGCAGACCCAAAAGTGTAGTAAGCTACCGGCAAGGGAAAACCATCGCATTCGTTTTGTGGATCACCGGGTGAAGAAAGCTATGTTAATGAACTTTCGTAACCCGCCCACGGACCAGGTCGGTTGAAGCTATCGATTGGGAATAGAACGTAGGCGCAATAACATGGCAGCTCCAGTCACGAGGATACCTGCTCCCCAGCTCGTATAAGCCGGGTAAACAGCGGCAGTGGCATATCCGGATGACACGGGTGGCGAGTCAAAATTCCGTTTCTGAGAGTGAGAGAGTCGTCGTGTCGTTCTTTTTTTGTCGCGCATTAGACCACGTCATGTATGGTTCTCCCAGGCTACCGGGTGCGATGGGCGCAGGGATAGGTCGCGTGCGCATTACTGCCTATCCCTGTAGTGTAATAACCTTGCTGCTGAGAAGAGTGAGCTGTGTTCGTGTGGCACATCAAGCCTAGGTAGTTGGTTCTATACAGACAGAGGAGAAAAGGGGGACCTGGACCCCGAGTTCCGAATTGCTCGAATCCGGCCGGCAGTGCTGCTGCAAAGAGTTCTTGACCCGGTTAGCGGTGCCCGAAGTCCACACGGGTACCCGAGCGGTCTGATAACCGCGCGTCTCGGCGGGAGGAAAAGATTTGTTGTAAACTTGTTGCACACAGACTGGTTGCTGGCTTGGCATCTCGTAACCTGTGACGGGATCTGGATCAACGACCACGAGTCGAGGCGTGCGGGCTTTGAGGCCGATCTTGAATCGGAGGACTGTAGCCCAAACAGACCTAGGTCTTTTTCTTTTGAAAAATTCCTTTGAAAAAGACATTTTGTCGCAAGGCGACACGGCAGTTGAGCAGGGCCCTTATCGTATCTTTACAGCCCAGCCATGGCTCATCTGCGCGGCATAAGAGTCAACTTGAGTAAGGCGTAAGGCATTGGTAAATCCGAAAATTGTCCGGAAGGCCGTAAAAGTCGTAAAAGCAAGCCACCTGGGCATCAAAGAATTTTCGAAACGTCCAAGGCCCGCATGGCTGAAGAGACAAGGACAAGGCCGTCTTAGTCATTAACCCGCGATCCTCGGGAATGAGGTATGGGGACGCTGCCGCTCTCAATATGTTGTCGAGTATCCGTCCCGAAGCTTGATCCAATCGAGTTGCATGCTGAATGGGGGCTGCAAAAATTGCAACCTGGGCAGCCGGGAACCGACCGACAAACTGCCGGCCGGGGACTGTGAAAAGTGCTGGAAGGATATACTTCCGTCTGCATATGCTCTCTGGGCGAATTACAAACGGTTCGTTGGGGGCTGAAGTGACATAAGACCTCGCCGCAATCAGACATGGGCGCGACTCATGCGGTTCAGAGGCCGAGCTGAGCTGACGAAGTTCCCTTGTTCTTACTGGGATAAGAAATGCTGCGTGCTGACATGGCAAGCCAGCCATGAAGGGGGGGGGGGGGGGGAAAAGGCCTTGTTAAGGTGTAAATTTAGACTCAGCCATGATGAGAAATCGACGAAAGAAAATCATGAGCAAATATCGGATTTCGTCCTGCTCCCGGGAATAGGGATTTCCAGACGGTACGCAGGCGGCTCGATTTGCGAGTCGGGAAAAGCATGTTCTGGTAGGTTAATAAAGCAGTCAGCGGGATGGGATGAGGTGGGATAGGAGGATTGGCAGTGGGCACGAGAGGTGGGATGAGTTGGGAGGGGTCGGGCGTGGAGGTCGATGTGTTGCGTCATAGGCGTCGAAGAGTCGCTTGCATGCAAGGCGTGTCAGGCCTCTGGGCTCTTTTCGCGTGTCCTTGGGTGCCTCCCCCGCGGGACGGATTCGATGCCGCCGCACGGAATGCAGAAGATCTGGCTGGCTGTCTGACTGATGGGCGCCCTGTGTGAAAGTAAAATCCAATGTCTTGCCGTCAAAGAATGTTGGATCGTAACGGTTGATTCAACTGCAACGCCTCGTTACCTGTAGCGTGTTTCCGACTTTGCGCAGTCAAAGTCGAGTTTCTTCCCGTCTAACCTAGATGGCCACCTAGGAGAGATCGGGGACCCGAGGTTCCGGGACCAACATCGAGCCACATTTTCCGCCCTTGTCCTTTCGCAGGGCGGATGAACAGGTTTTGGCTGTTGAAGAAGGCAACACACCGCTGCAGCAGAGTGAGACCCCCGATACGCTACTCGCCGTAAGGCAGTGCGCTATCCGAAGGCGGAGGGAGAGGCGGTAAGACGGCGAGAGCAGCTGGGGCGAGGCGACGTTATGTTGCAATAACGAAGCTTGGAAAAGACGACTGAACGCTCGTTTTGGTTTTCGGTTTCGGGGCAGCTGGAAATTGCGGACAGTCCTTGCGCGCATCAGGGTTTCGGAGATTTCTTCAAAAGTGGGAAGATGCTGCGGATAGAAACGAAATGGACGGCGGAAAGAAGGCAGTCTTGGCCTATGTGCATTGTAACCTAGGTAGGTAGTTGGCAGGGGTTTCTAGTGGCGGATTCTTTTTGTATTTCGTGCCTCTCAGCTCGTCGGAGAATGGCGGGGAGACCGCAGGAGGGTGAGACTCGAAATTCAATTGCAGTGCGACGGACAAAGCAGAGATGCCTGGCTGGTCGGTGCTGTTGACGAACGTTGCAGAATGAGGGAGCTGAGTGCTGGTCTGGTCTGGGTGTCCGTACGCATCGACAACCGTCGAAGACGAAGAAGAAAAAGGGGCAGGGGCGCCATGTGGGGAGATGTTGACGGACAGCCTCCGTGGGACCGTGGCTGAAGAGCAGGATCCACTTGGGGTGTCCACGTCAGGTCGACGTCCAGTCCTGAGTCCACAGGTGCAGTCACGTCGGTCGTGGTCTTGCCGAGTTCCAGCTGAAGCGCCTGCGGTCGAATGTCACCACGCTGCACCGTCGCAGAAACCGCGGCTTGCCAGTTGGGCAGTTGCCCCGGATTCACACCGGACGGCGCACAACGCTAGCCCGATATGGTAGTTTCTTGTCGGCGAGACCGCGGGTCGATGCCTAGGTAGACGCCGCACCCGCCGCAGGCAAAAGCGCACCTGCAGGAAGAAGGAAGCAGGAGGAGCAGGAGGAGGAGCGTAGGTAAGATAGGTAGGTACCCCAGGCAGTCAGCAGCACCGTTTGCTGAGTCTGGTGATGGTGGTCTGTGGTGTGGCAGTTACCTTAATGTATGGCGGTTGAAGTGGAAGTTACCATGTACTCAACTGCGTATCTATGTACCTTAATTAGGTACTTACCTTAGGTAAGGTGCGAGTTGCAAAGCGGAAGGCGGGACCGGGACGGTGCAGACGAAGCAGCCAGGTGCAAATGAGCATCACACTCATCACAGGGCAATGGAAAGGCATCCACCCTCCTGGGAAGGGGCCCCCGTGTTGTCGGGTGCGAAAAAGCATGGGAAGGAGCCCTTCACACGCCTCGCCTGCCCCTCCCCTCCTGGTCAGCCCCATAAATGCTCCTACCGTAAGTAGCTCTCTGGTCTGCTGGCTTTCGTCATTGCCACGGCCCTTTCATCTGAAGGTTTCCCCGTCGACTCCCTGAAAGCGAGAAAGCCCAGGTGCCAGGTGAAAGGAAAGGTCCAGCTCACAGTCCAAGACCGACTCTTCTCTCCCACCGCTCGACCCAAAAGAAGATACACACCCCGATATCACACACAGCCAACCCAATACTCCATACTTTACATACAAAGTACACACGACCGACCCGCGGCCCATCTGTCAGACCTCCCGCCCCGTTCCCGAACCACTCTTCGAATCCCCAGACGACTCTCGATCCGAACCGATCCCCTTTCCACCCAACCAGCCCTTCCAATTGACCACTGACGACACGAAACGGACACACCTCCCATATCTCTGTTCCTGCCTACCTACCTACCTACTTACTTACCTACTTACCTCGCTCTCTCTTCCTCCCTCTTCGCACGACTCCACGGCTTACTTCGCCTTCTATCAACACACCCGCCACTCTTCGTCCCATTTCCTCCAACGGCCAGCTCCTCGGGCCGTAATGGACGCCGCGCTGTGATTCCGAAAGAAGAAAGCAAGTAATCACTCTCTCAGTCAGCCCTTAGATACCCATGACCCTTTATGACTGGGATTTCGGCGATCAACAAGAAAATACATAATATGGCGGCAACAGTAGCGCACGCGAATCCCCTGCCTAATCAGGTTGGAGGGGGACTTTCCAAGATGATGGGCGGTAATGGACACAGTCAGGCGCAGCAGCAGCATGCTGATGCTGGAGTTGGTCCTATTGCGAATCGCAAGTTGACTCCTCAAGACTTCCGTGTGGTGAGGACGCTGGGCACAGGTGCGTTTGCTTGTCTTTCATTCTCCATGTAGCCATGTCTCGGGAGCCCGTTTGCTGACGATTTGCGCCCTCGTAGGTACCTTCGCCCGTGTTTGTCTCGTGCGGCCAGCGAATGCGACAGAGGAGGAGCGCGACACAGTGTTTGCGCTCAAAATATTGAGGAAAACCGAAGTCATCAAGCTGAAGCAGATTGATCACGTCCGACACGAGCGTTTGATCCTCGGCGACGTCGCTGGCCACCCCTTTATTACCAACCTCATCACCTCCTTTTCCGACCGCGACCATCTTTACATGCTGTTAGACTACGTTCCTGGTGGCGAGCTGTTCAGCTACTTGCGCAAGTTCAGGCGGTTTGAGGAGCAGACGGCGCGCTTCTACGCTGCAGAAATCGTCCTTGTGCTTGAGTACCTCCACGAGCAACAAGGGCGAGTCGCATACCGCGATCTCAAACCGGAGAACCTCCTACTGGACCAGGATGGTCACATCAAGCTGGTCGACTTTGGTTTCGCAAAGAGGTTAAGCAACAGTGCTGGACAGCCAACCGAGACATACACGCTCTGCGGCACCCCCGAGTACCTCGCGCCGGAAGTGATCCATAACAAGGGCCACACGACAGCGGTGGACTGGTGGGCGCTAGGTATTCTGATATATGAGTTCTTGACGGGTTACCCTCCGTTCTGGCACCAGAACCCAATCGAGATCTACAAGCAGTAAGCCACCATGTACCGATCAGCGATATGGATTGGGAATGTTTGTTGCAGTTGCTGACAGATTCTGCAGAATCGTTGAAAAGCCGGTCATGTTCCCGCACGATCCGCCAGTATCTCCCGAAGCACAAGACCTCATCAGAGCCTTCTGCACCGTAGACCGGTCACGAAGACTGGGCAACATCAGCGGAGGAGCCGCCAAGGTCAAAGAGCATCCCTTCTTCCGTGGAATCAACTGGGATGATCTGTATCATCGGAGGGTCCGTGGTCCCATCATTCCGCCGATTCGATACCCAGGCGACGCGCAATGTTTCGACATTTATCCCGAAGATGACGGCAAGCGGGAAACGTACACGGAAGACATGGTCCAGAAGTATGATCAGTACTTCAAGGACTTCTGATGACAGTCCGCTGTGACGAGTCGTACAAACTCATATGCCGGGAGTCTATGTGTTTGTTGAATTTCCACATTCCATTTCGTTTTACGGCCATTTATGATACTCCACCTTGTAAGAATGTACCGGATGCACTTGTGACGCGCAGCGAAGACGAGGACGATGCATAGCCCATTTCAGGACAGCATGGATTTTTGACGGGGGAAGGCTTTCAGGCTTCCAGGCTTCAGGAAAGGGGAAGAGGCGCGAAAGGACACAGGGGGAACTTTTGCTGGTCAAGCCCTGGATAAGCACTATTGGATTCTGTTTTTTGGAGTTACAACGGCGTTAGCATTGTTGTCTACCAGCGACGCGGCGAGGTAGCTGGGTTCGAGGGTCGAGGAGAGTCTCTTAGTTGTTAACGAAAGAGATGGGATGGAAAGACCGTGAATAGACAGACGTACGCAATGCGATGTGCCCCATCTGCAGATATTATCTCCGGTTGACAGAGCAGTGTATTCGCAATGTTCTGTATGCTCGTGCCATTGTGCACTAAGAAGTGTACGACCCAACAGCTCGGCGCATTCAACGGGTCGCCAGAGCATCCCGTGAACACTTCGACCGTCGATATGACAGCACGGGGCGAGTGTCTCAGCGCTTAGGGGCTAGCCAAGACGGGGATGGCACTCGGCATGGGTATCTCTGTGGTGATGGCGGCGCGCTCACGTCACCTGGACTTGGCAATGCATTCTCCCCTGCGTTGGTGGGGTTGACGGCGATAGGGGTTAGGGTCTGGGGCTCTATGTAACGCGCGAGGCAGTCATGAAAGGGAGGCAGGCACGGCTGCGTTTGCGTTTGTAAGGGGCCTCGAGGATAGACCAGGAGACATGATATCATAGCATAGGCAGGTACCTGATGTGTATCAGCAGGGTCAGGTACGTCTTGGGCTACAGAACTGTCATCTGGGTAAAGGGGGTTTATCCGGTTCATCCAGAGATATCTGTACCTGCCTTACCAACGTCTCTACCTTACCATACGGCATGACCTGCAGCAGCAAGGCAAGCTTACCTTAGCGACAAATGGGGTTATTGAGGGAGGGAGGTGGAGTGTCAAATGGCGTACCCGTACCTAAGAATGGCCAGCGGGATGTGCGGGTTACGAATAAGGTACTTTAAGGTGTAGAGGGGTTACCCCTCTGCAGGGGACTGCCGGACTGGGTGCCGCTCGCTGCATGTCCGCTGTGTGCCCTAGTCCTAGTGTCCAGCAGCAACTAAGGTGATCATGAGGAGATGCAGGGTGTTCGGACACTGTCAGACACCAACTGCAGGCAACCCGAGGGTGGTAGGGCAGAGTTGTCAAGGTTTCGCAACCTGAAATGCGTCCAGTGATGCTGGTGGTCGGAGAGCGCCTCATATTGTGAGGTAGGCAGGCTGGTAGCACCTAACGTGCCTTGTAAGGGTGAAGCAGCAGGTACGTACCGGGACCCTCAGAACGTAAGTGGTCTTGGCGGGAAACCTCCAACTATCCACTCCTCTGCATTCAGCTCCAGTCCCGGCTCACGCTCAGCACAGCTCTCTTACCTTCCCGTCACCCTATCCAATTGTCTGTCTACCGAACAACTTCCACCCTGCCGCCGAATAACAGTATTGCGTCGCCTTCGAGCTGACTGACCCTCCCTCAAATCGTGCTGCTCTTGCCGCGACCTCAGATATTGTTTGCTTCTTTACCGGCTAGAGTCTCGTTCTTCGTTCGGGACCTGCCCGTCAGGTCAGCAACCAGTCGGCCTCGCCTCGACACCACCATCCAGTTTCCATCCGGCGGGAACCGAGCCTCTTTCCATCGCCCTTCCGACGACAACCCCCCGACATGACAAGCTGAGTACAGCGGCTTCAGCATGTTGAACCTATCTAGCCTCGTGCAGAAGGCACAGCAGTTCATCGACCCGACCCAGGGGCTGAACCTCACCAACTCCGACAAGAATCCCTCCAAGGCATCGCTGTTCCAGAACCAGTTCCGCCTTCCCAGCACCCAGACCCCGCTGTACGAGATCAATGCCGAGTTGACCATCCCACCCGCCAATGCCGTCTACGGCGGCAAAGACCACGATCGAGGCTACCACTATGCCGGCAAGCTCCATCTCTCCGAGTCCTACATGTGCTTCTCCACCACGCCATCCAGCTTCGTCCAGTCGGCCAGCACCTCGACAAGCTCCGCCTTTACGGGTCAGACACACGGCGGAGGGCCAAGCGGAAATGGCTTCACGTTCCCCCTCTGCGCCATTCGGCGCGTCGAGAGGCTGAACAGCCAGACTTTCCAGGTCGGTTCTCTTTGACCCCAGATTCAGACAATGACAGCCGGCAGTCCGTGCTCTCCCCCGCAAGGACTCCCAACTGACACTTCACCTCCTAGTTTGCGTTGGCGATTACGACCTGGAACGGTATCTCTCAGCAAAAGGATAAAGAGTCCAAGGAAAAGGACAAGGACGCCGCCGATAAGGAGAAGAAGGACAACAGGGAGCAGAGGATCACGATACACCTTGCTGGCACCCGTCAAGGCTGCGAGCGCTTCTGCGATGGCCTGAAGAAGGGACTAAGGGCCGGCGTCGGCAACGTTTCCAAGTACAAAAAGGTCGTCAATGAGTGCTACTCCGAGTACCTCCTCCGCCCGGAAGACAAGAAGAACATGGGTCCCCCGGACGCCGGTCTGGGTATGATGTTCCGATACCCTGGAGATCCAAAGAAGCTGCGCGACCGAGCCAAGATGCGGTTATGGGCTGAATACCTACGCGACTATGGTCGGAACGTGACGCTGATCCGACAGCCCACCTTCCACAAGCTCATCCGCGTTGGTCTGCCAAACCGCCTGAGAGGTGAGACTTGGGAGTTGACTTCCGGATCGATATATCTCAGGCTGGAAAATCCCACGCTTTACCACGACACTTTGGCCAAGTACGAAGGTCAGGAGTCTCTCGCTATCGACGAGATCGAAAAGGACCTCAATCGAAGTCTTCCAGAATACCCCGGCTTCCAGAGCGAGGAAGGCATAGGTCGCCTCCGACGAGTCCTGACGGCCTACAGCTGGGTCAATCCTGATGTTGGCTACTGCCAAGCCATGAACATTGTTGTAGCGGCGCTGCTCATCTACATGTCGGAGACGCAGGCCTTTTTCTTGCTGTCTTCACTGTGCGACAGACTGGTTCCAGGGTATTACTCAACGACCATGTATGGCACGCTTCTGGACCAGAAGGTCTTTGAGTCGCTCGTGGAGAAGACGATGCCGATCTTATGGGAACACCTGGTCAAGAGCGATGTGCAGCTTTCTGTCGTCTCGTTACCGTGGTTCCTGTCGCTTTACGTCAACTCCATGCCTCTGGTCTTCGCTTTCCGAGTTTTGGATGTGTTTTTCGTCGAGGGCCCCAAGGTCTTGTTCCAAATAGGTTTGGCAATCTTGAGGATCAACGGCGAGGAACTCTTGGATGCGGCTGATGACGGCGCCTTCATTTCGATCCTTAAGACATACTTCGCACGTCTCGATGAGTCGGCGCATCCCAAATCTGAAAATCCCAAGCTGCGCGCTGTCACAAAGTTCCAAGAGCTGATGGTGGTGGCATTCAAGGAGTTCTCTGGCATCACTCACAGCAGCATAACCGATTTGCGCTTAAAGAACAAGGACGCCGTTCTCAGCAATATCGAGAGCTTTGCGAAGAGAACGGCGATCCGAAACTTGGGCCCCGACAGCAAGCTTCTTGCCCCTGAGGAGTTGAGTGCGTTATACGACCGTTTTTATACCATTCTATACGAGAGACAACAGCGAGAAAGCATCATCCAGCAAGAAAAGCAGCGGCGCGCAAAGAACGCACGGCCTAGAGCGCGTGATGTATTCGATGACAGCCCTGACCATGGTGTCGAGAAGGGACGGGTTGCTCTTGGAGCCAGCACCAGTCTGATGGACTACGATGCGTTCAGAGAATTCCTTGCCAACATGGCTAAATGGGCCATCTCAGACGCACCCACAACCCCGCGCCGAACTACTTTTGCCGACAAGGACAGAAATGCTTATACCAGCCCCCGACAAAACAATGGATTGCTCTCTCCTTGGGGCGCTGGCCCAGAGCCTGCGGATCACGAATTCATACAACTGCTGTTCAAGAAATGGGATGTTAGCGGCACAGGTGCGCTCACTTTGTCCGACGTCGTCGCAGGCTTTGCCAGTATCAAGGGCAAGCGAGACATCATGGGCACAATTACGTACTTCTTTGAACTATACGACGACGACGGCGATGGCAAGGTTGACCGCGAGGGTATCTTGCGTATTTCCGAATCCCTCTTATTCCTGTCAAGGCGAGGTCTCGAGGGAACGCTCAGCCCAAGTGCGTCCAGCCTTACACTCAATATGCCCAATGGCATGGGCAACAACGGCCCTGAACCGAGCCTACCTGGTATTTCAACCAACGAGAAGTTTCTGGGCAGCGTCAGTGCATTCATAAGAAGATGCTTTGAATACGCCGACCCCGATCATCCGCACAACCAGAACCGAAATCAAACCTACAAGGAGAAGGAAGAGAAGCCCAAGTCTGCCGACACTGACGGCGCCTTTGCTATCGGCGACGATGAAGATGAAGATGAAGATGAAGATGAGGAAGACCTTCTTGCCATGGACTCACCCACCGGCAGCCCGACTAAGGCGAAGAAATTTTCGGACAGCTTGCCATCGCCACCAGAAGAAAAGCAACCGGCCGAAGCTCAATCTCAACGACGTGTTTCGAAGGCACAATCAGAGGCGGCTAACGCTGCGCTGGATCCTTCAAATCCTTTGCACATTACACTTCCCACTTTCCGCATGGTCGTGCTCGCCGACGAGCTTCTGGAACAGTTTTTCGAATCATCCTTCCCCACCTCCTTCCATCTCATCGAAGGCCTGCCGACGGTATCGACGCCAACATCTACGCTTACGACCTTCTCTAGTCTCAACTTCGGACGTGCGCCTGTTGCCGCATTGAACCCTGCCGCCCAGGGAGCGACCCGTGGTCTGCGCGGTGTGCTCGACAACATTGTCACAGATGGCATGCGTGTTGCTGCCGAGGTTCGCAGAAGAATGGACGAGGCGCAGAAGGAGTTGGAGAAGAATGCCTTGCCTGGCCAAAAGGAAGAGGACGAAGAGGATGACGCAGACATCGGAGTCGAGATCGGCATCAGGAAGGGCACGGCTAGTGGAAGTGCGGACATTGAAAGACGGAGCGTTCGGAGTGAAGACCGGGATCTGCTTGACGGCGCGGATGCCGAAGCCGGTGCCAGCGGAAATGGGAAGGAAGGCCAGCTCGTTGACATTGAGCCCACAAGCAGACCCGAGGCGAATGCCAAGGGAGTTGTTGAGTTCGAGGGCTGATCGTTGCCAGCACAAGGCATGCAGCTTTTACTTGATCCATCCAAACTAAGAGTCTACAAGACAGCATGAGGACATCACTAGGCTGAAAGGGGGGTTCTGAGGTACGCGAAGAGCGGCAGTTGGCAGGAGGATGTGTGTGGCACGCAAGGGAAATGAGGGAGGCTAGCTAGCATGAGTGCGAACGAGAATCGCGCCCCGGGGTGAGGTGGTATTCGTCGTCCTGCTGCGTTGTAGAAGGTATCTGTGGGACTATGATTATACCTGCGGACATCTTGTAACTAGGAGTTCCATCGGGATTGAATTGCCTCTGTGGCTAGACTATACAGTCATTAACAAGAGATTTTGACTGTCGGCAGCCTGACGGCGTCAGTGCATACACCTGCGAATAACGAAGTCATTGAGCTTCGTGAGGCATAACCCATGCAGCGGATACGACCCGACAAACCGACATTGGGGAAAAGCTCGCCAGCACACTCGCGTGGCTAGCATGCTCAGCCCCACGGATGGCAAGGCAATCTCCTTCCTGCGGTTTCGGGGGCAAATGTCGCTCAAAGCTTGGTTTGTGTGGTATGGAGCGCCTGCCCATGACAGGAAGGCGAGAGAAATTTGGCCATAACGCCATCGACTGGGCAGACGGTCGCCGGGCCCCAGATCGGCCTTCTCATGGACAGAATGAGCAGAAATGAATCCGTCGTCATATTCGCAATTACCTTGTGGCATGAGAGCGCGGGCACGGATTGTTCTTATGCCTGGGCATCACGAAGAGACGAGATGCGAGAAAAGAAGCCATCAGCGCCACCATCTTTGAGGAGGCAAGGTGCGTGTGCCATTGCAGTGCAAGAGGCGTTGGCCATGAGGCTGATGATACCATGTCAACAGGGAGGGCCATCCTCGCGTTGGGCCTGGCGTATGCAGGGAGAGCAGGAAGCATTCTAGCGCCCGCTTCCCTTTGGATGGGAAGCAGTGCGGAAGCTGAGACAAACTTTCCTCAACCGGATCTGAAAGCTGCCACTTACAACAACGTCCTCCACTCATCGCCCCGGGCCAGCATCAACAGCATTCCGTTACTTTGGGCTGGCGAGCGTGGGACTTGGCAAGTCTGGAATCCCAGCTCATGCCTCGCCAGAATCCTACCCGTCGTCTTCTTTCACGTGTTCGACCTCCACTCTCGCACGACATGCCCACATGTTTGGGGGGCAAGCTTTCTGCGTTCATCAGTCAGGGATTGTCGAGGACGTTAACCTAGAAGGAACAGGGCCGTTTATCGCACCACGCACGCACTATTCCCCGAAGATGGGTAACGAGTCTGGACTCGTCCAAGCTTCCGTTCCATTTATATTTCGCAGAGACATACCAATGTCTCTGGACTTCCTACCTACGGGCCAGTTTCGCCCCTCGGGGACACATGCACACATGCTTTGCCGGTAGTTACCTGGTAGGGCCGTTCGCCCCTGTCAAGTGTGTGGGTAAACCACGGCACGCAATACCGTCCGCAACGTCAGCCCGGTTGCCCGTCAACCCCTGGATCAGCAACAGCCCCTTCACATTCCTTGTGCGGATCCCAGCTGGACCTCCTCGTCGTCAACCTCGATACATGCTTCTCGTTGCGTCTGCTCAAGCATGCAGTGGAAAGTACGGTGATCGCGGGCATTCCCCTCTATCTCCCGCTCGTACCGGCTTCCACACCAACGAGCTCTGCCAAAGGGGAATCTGCTGCTCTGATGGTCTCCAGGCTTCGTCGACTCCTGTGACAAATGGCACCCATCAATGGTCATTCACCCGTTGAAGTTATCCATCCCTATCCAATGGGATGAGAGGAGATGTGCGTCGGTGAAGCGAGCACAGCTTGACTGAAGCAGGCCCAAGCTCCCTCCTCCTGTGGCCATGCTGTGGGTGCCACGGGACGGTTTCCTCTTTGCCATTCCGCGTCGAATCCGCACCAAGAGGCCAAGTTTGAAATGAGGGGCCAGACCAAACACATACGGACATACACGAACGTGCCTGCACGCACACGGAGCACAGAGAGGAAAGGACGCCTGGAATGGAGGCGTTCAGGGGACAAGCATCGCGCACGGCTGGACCTGAGAATCGTCATTTCACACATTCCACCTCCCCGGAGCGAGGTCTCTGGGAAGGGCTACAGCAGCCCTAAGACGGCAGGAGAAAGGGGTAATCTCGCCTTATTGACTGGGACTCGTCTTGGCCCCGACGGTGGAAAACTTTCAAATACGGCCAAGATTCTCCTTGCTCCAGATGGAAGTTTCTCTCCCTACCACGCTCCCAACTCACACTCGCTTCATCTCCTCTCGTCCGTCTTTCCTGGATTCCCTTCCGGGCAAGTGGGCATTCATTCGTTACTGTTGCTTGGCTTCTGTTCTCGCGTTTGTCGCTCTTTTGGGGGTCCCTCTCCCAGCCTAATATCTCTCACGCACTCCCAAAGCCTTCGACACTCGCCTCTTGGCCCTCCTGTTCCACACCCAAGCTTCCGCAGTTGTTCGAACATCAACCCAACAAGATGGTTTGGCTGAAGAGGACGGTCCTCGTGGCCGCCGTGTCTTTGTCCGGCATTGCCCAGGCCCAGAGCACCACTTCCTCCAGTTCCGAGAGCAGCACTTCCTCCGGTCTCGAGAGCAGCACTTCCTCCGGTTTCGAGAGCAGCACCTTGACGTTCTCCAACAGCAGCTCTACTCTGAGTAGCACCTCTTCCAGCCTCAGCTCCACTTCTGGAACCGTCAGCCTCACCTCCACCTCCGCTGGCAGCCAGAGCGAAACTTCCACGTCCACCGGCGCAGCCCCGGCCTCCACCAGCGGCAGCGTGACCCCGAGCGTCAGCGTGACCCCGGCTCAGAGCTCTACTGGTGGTGCTGGTGCTAGCTCCTCTGCCCCTGGAGCCAGCAGCTCTGCTCCGGCAGCCAGCAGCAACGCTCCGGGTGCCAGCAGCTCTGCCCCGGGTGCCAGCAGCTCTGCCCCGGGTGCTAGCAGTCAGGCCCCGCCGGCCAGCAGCCCTGCCGGCTCCTCTCCTGGCGGCGGCGGCGCCGCTTCGACCCCCGCTGCCTCGGGCGGATCCACCCCGTCTTCCGCTCAGTCTGCGGCCGCCTCGGCGTCGGCCTCCAGCGCCCCCGGCGGAAGCATTGCCGTGCTTAGCACCACCCCTCAGCCCTTCAACAACTTCTTGGACATTCAGCCTGGTGAAGCCATTGTATCCACGCTTACGATCAATGGACAGGCGGTCAGCTACGTCATTGTTTCCCAGGGCTGCAGAGGTGTGCCCGCTGGACAGTCGCCGTTCGCCGACGGCACCGGCCCCGAGTCTGGCAACGCCTTCACTCCCGGTTCTTGCGCGGCGACTTGCGCGGGCAAGGGCGCCTCCATGTCTGGAGCCCAGCGTGGCATTTGCAACTGCGGTAACACCCTGAGAACCGACCTTCCTCTCATCGCCCCCGCGCAGTGCAAGGCATCCAACAACGCCAAGCGTCAGACCGGCACCTACGACCCCGTCCCGATTGCGCAGGCCATTCCCGCCAGCCAGGTCGCCATCCAGTCGGCTACTGTCACCCTCTCGCAGTCTTCCCTCCCAGTCGTAGCCGTCAACACTGCGCCTCCTGGTGCGTCTGTTCCTGCCAGCACGACCGCCGCCGGATCTTCTGCTGGGTCTTCTGCTGCTACTTCTCGTGCGTCGGGTTCCTCCGCTGCTTCCACTGGTGCCGGTGCTTCCACTGGTGCGCCTGCTGGCTCTTCTGCTGGCTCTTCTGCCGGTGCTTCCGCTGGTGCTTCGACCGGTGCCTCTTCTGCTGGTGCCACTCCCGCTTCCTCCGCCGGCAGCAGCCCCGCCGTCTCCTCTCCCGCAGCAGCCAGTGCCACCGACTTCATTCTCGGAATTGTCGGTGGCCGTGCGCCCAGCTCTTCCGTCTCCAGCTCCGCCTCGTCTTCTCGCGCCTCGTCCTCGAGCGCCAGCTCTGCTTCTGCCAGTTCCGCCGCCTCCAGCAGCGCCTCAAGCTCTCGTGCTTCCAGCTCGTCTGCCTCCAGTGCCTCTGCCTCTTCTGCCTCCTCCAGCTCTGCCGCTGCTTCAAGCTCCCCGATTATCACCGTCCCCACCTCGAGCCTCTCCATCACCTCCCCCCCGGTCAGCGTTCCTTCCACCAGCACGTTCAACTTCGCGAACACCACTTCTACCCAGCCTGTCCAGAAGCGTGCCATCCTTAAGCGCAAGATCGAGGAGGTCGCGAAGCGTCAGACTGGTGCCGTCACCTATGTCGGTCGTGCTGGAAGCCCGAATCCCACCAACTGCCAGCAAGCTTCCGTCTTCAGGCTCGGCGCCTCCGGCACTCTCACCATCGACGGTGCCGTTTTCGGTGTCAACCCCGGTGTCTTCTTCGCCCCGCTCCGCACCGGCCAGACCGGATCCATCGTTGCAACCTTCACTGCCGTCACCGGCAGCGGTTTCGCCTGGACTAACCCTTCGTTCTTCGGCGGTCAGGCTGGCTTCTGCCAGGACGCCACTGGCCAGGTCTATGCCACCTTCGCCAACCCTGCCGTTGCTGGAAACGTCCCCAGCGGCTGCACGACTGTCTCCTTCAACGTCGTCCCCAGTAAGTACATGGAAATTGGTCTCGTATGTGCCCCTTTACTAACCAATGCCAGGCTCTCAGTGCGCGCCCAGCGGAACTACTCTGCCCGCTTCCTCCACCACGCCCGTCGTTCCTACGTCTGGCGTTATCCCTACTAGCGGCGTCGTCCCCACCTCCGGCGTTGTCCCCACCAGCGGCGTCGTCCCCACCAGCGGCGTCGTCCCCACCAGCGGCGTCGTTCCCACCAGCGGCGTTGTCCCCACCAGCGGTGTTGTCCCCACCAGCGGCGTTGTTCCCACCTCCGGAGTCGTCCCTACTTCCGGCGCCACCACCATTGTCGGCCCCTCTGGCACCACCATTGTTGGCCCCTCCGGCACTACCATCATCGGTCCCTCCGGCACCTCTGTAGTCGGCCCCTCTGGCACCGACACCGGAGCTACAGCTACCAGCTCTGGAGCCGTCACCACCGTCGCCCCCAACCCCGGTACCATTGGAGACTACGCCTCCCTGGGCTGCTTCAGCTCCGGCGGCGGCTTCCCCTCGTTCCTCTTGGTCAAGCAGGACAACGCCCTCACGATCGACAGCTGTATCGCCGCCTGCGGTGGAAGCAAGCTCATTGGTGTCTTCGGCACTGATTGCTACTGCGGAAGCTTCATCGACAACTCCCAGACCCAGCAGGTCTCCGAGAACCAGTGCAACACCCTGTGCCCTGGCAACCCTCTCCAGCGCTGCGGTGGTCGCTCTTCGGTGGCCAAGCGCCAGGCTGTTCCTGCCGGCGTTCTCCTGAGCATCTACATCCGCATCGACGCCGGATCCATCTCCACCGTCGTCAGCGTCAGCGTCAGCGCCGGCATCGACACCACCGCCTCCTTCACCTTCAGCACCGTCATCACCAACCCCGGTATCACCGGCACTGCCCAGGTGCCCTCCCAGACCCCCAACGTTGCCGGCACCCTCACCCTGCCCCCCGGCCTCTACACCGAGGGCCAGCCCACCCCGACCGGCGAGTTCTGCCGCATCACCACGGGCTCCTGGCTCATCGGGGCGACCACTCTCCTCCCCTTCCCTATGCCCACGGCCTGAGAGCGATGGTTTTCAACGACAAGTTTATGAAGTCAATAAGCATCAGATCCCAAAGCTCGCATGGAAAAGAGATCTCGGGGAGTTAATTCTTGTCACAGTTTTCGAGTGGTTTTTATTCCGACGGTGTGCGTGAGAGAGATGTTTGTATTGTTTGGAGAGAGAGAGAACGGGGGAGGGAAACGAGAAGATGGTTTGTAAACTTTTTTTGTTTCTAATTGGATGATGCATTGAAGAGAAAGGCGAACAGTTGTAGAACTGTGCTACCCTTTTTTGGTAATACTGGGGTTGTGTTGTAGCTTATTGTGTGTTCTTTTGTCGGTAGAGAAGAATAGATGTTTCGGGCACCCTACGCTACCCTACCTACGCCTCTTCGGTTCATAATAAGTATCGTATTTGCCTCTGATGAACTAACTCTGTGACGATATGGGCTTTCTCCCCTTCAGAATTCGACTGATATCATGTTGGTTCATGGTGATCTTTTAATCATCGTTCTCTACTATCATGGCTATGTCTTTTCGCTCAGCTTTAGGCGTCGTTTGGAATACTGGTAGTATACAAATACACAGAAAAGCCTTCGCTGCGGAGCACATCGGCGATGCGGCCGAAAACTGCCCCGGTCACCCGAACCCCACCCTCCCGAAAGGGGCCGGCGCTTACACGCCCACACACCTTCTTCTTCCAGTGACAGCCAACCATCAACTCAATCCTGCCCCGGTCTACCCCAGAATCTGCTCGCTCCCCTGTCCATCGTTTGCGGACCTTGCGCTAGTTGAGAGCTCCGTTGATTGTTTAAAAGTCAATTCTAACACCACCACCATCAACGATTTTATGGTACCGAGGCTATGAAGACTTCCTCGAAATATCGCACTCTGCTCTGCGCGGTCGCGGATAACCACGCTTCCCTCCGGACATACGCACACAGTTCAGTCTGTGAATCCAAACAGGAAACAAGCCAGAAATAAGGATCTTCCCTTCCCTTTCCCCCTCTCCTCTCTCCCCAACCCCGCGTTTGGCCCGCTGTCACTGCACCGTTACATCGCCCATCGGCTGCAATGTCTCTGTCAGGCTGCCTGGTCCGTCTTGGCTCGCAGATGATGGTGGTCTGCTGTCCTTTCTTTCGTACCTGAGAAAGCATCGAGTGTGTACGCGAGGGGGGCCATCTTTGCTTTTATGGGTGACTTACCTTCCTCAATGTTACGTGATTTTCCTGTCCTGGATGCTGCGTGACGTGATGCGAATGCTTGTTCCTGGTTCGTGAGGGGATTGCTTTTGTTGAGAGGTGATGAAGAGCCGGCATCACATGAAAACCTTCTTGTGTTCTGATCGTTCCGCGGTTGATGGAGAGGGGATTGTGGTATCGCGTGGTTTACCATGCGGTCGTATTTACGAGAGGAAGTGGTATAAGTGAACTCGGGTTCATCCCAAATCCCACGCCATCCATCCCTCTCCTGCCAAGGAGATCTCAAACTCCTTCCTTGATCTTTCCACCCTCTTCCTCCCCCTTTTACCGCAAGAATGAAGCCCCTCCCGTCCCTCGCGGCAGCAGCCGCGCTCCCCCTCGCCCTCGCAGCCCCCTACAACACCTTCGACGGCCCCGGTTTCCCGGCCTGCAACGACGTCGCGGCCGTCCACAACGCCACCTCAGTCGCCGAGATCCAATCCCTCGTGCGGGACGCCGTCGCCGCGGGCCAGAAGGTGCGCGCCTCGGGCAAGGGCCACATGTGGTACGACACCATGTGCTCCGACGACGCGAACACGGTGATCATCCGCACGGAGGAGGTCAACGGCATCTCGGACTTTGATTTGGAGGGCGGCACCGTGGTGATCGAGGCGGGGGTCACGTTCCTGCAGCTGGCCCAGTACCTGCACGCGCGCGGCGCGTCGGCGGGGTACACGCTCGTGAACTGGAACATCACGCTGGCGGGGTGCGTGGCGATGGGCGCGCACCGGTCGAGCATTCGGGAAGATTCGATGGTGGCGGCGGGCGTGCTGGAGCTGGATATCGTGGACGGGAACGGGGAGATGAGGCATGTGGTCAAGGACGAGGGGAGCGACGAGTGGCTGGCGGCGTCGACTAGTTTGGGGCTGTTGGGGGTTATTGTGAGGATGAAATTTAGGATTTATCCTGACTTTAAGGTCTATGCTGACCAGAAGACGTGAGTTTGCCTTTTTGTCTTTTGTTTGGAGCTTTGAATGAGTCTGACGTGTGGATGTAGTCTCGAAGAGGATGAGGTCCTTGATGGCGATATCTACGGCATGATCTCCCCCTACGCAACGGCAAACTTCTGGGTAAGTTAAGCATACACACACACACCGAGCTTCCCACCAGCTGACCCCATCCAGTGGTGGCCCTACAAGCGCAAGTTCCACTGGCGCTACTACGACGTCGTGCCCACCAACATCTCGGAGCAGCAGGGCTTCCAAAACACCTTCTCCGTCACGGACCTCGAGGGCAACACGGCCAAGACGCTCCTCGACAGCGGGCGCTACCTGCCGACGTCCAACATGCTCGCGGAAGAAATCTTCTTCGGTCTCTGGTCCAAGCCCAACTTCCGCGAGAAGACGACCAACACGGCCATCGACACGTGGCCCGTCTACGGGTGGAACTACGACGTGCTCATCGGCGGGCTGTACCCGGACCAGCGGCCCTTGTGGGAGGTCGGCGTGCAGGGCTACACGATGGAGCTGGCGTTCCCGATCACGCAGGCGAACGCGATGCTGCGGCGCGTGCGGCAGCTGTTTGACGACGAGCTGAAGAAGCTTGTCGTGATGACGTCGACGTACCGCAGTGGGATTAACATCAAGTTCGGGCGGCCGTTTGAGGGGTTTTTGAGCCAGGTGGCGACGAACACGAGTGATGGGGCGGATTGGAGTAAGGGGGCTATTATGTTTGACTTTCCGACGTTTAGGCCTACTGTGGGTGACCATAGCCGGTTCAACGAGCCTTTCTGTGAGTTACTCTCTGATTTTGGTGCGAGGAGTGGGATGCTGACTGCGAACAGATCATAATCTTGCCAAGGTCCTCATCGACGAGTTCCCGTGCCGCCCGCACTGGACTAAGAACACGAGGGAGATCTTTGCGAATGCAACGAAGAATTTGGATCCCGATGTAAGTCTTGCCTGTCGGTTTATTGGAGAAGTACAGAGACTGACTTGGTAATAGCACATTGCTCGCTTCAAGGCTGTGAGGGAGCAGTTCGACCCTAATGGAGTCTTCAAGAGCGTCGTCGGTGAGGCTATTGGTGTCTACTAGTTGATGAGACAGCGGTGGTTTAAGGAGGTTTTCTCTTCGATGGACATATTTTAAGGGGCTGCTTACTTTAACTGTGCTATGGCGACTGTATTTACTGTGACTCTGAGGCTACCGTCGCGGTAGTCGTTATTTTTACTCGATCAAACTCTCCAGGCCTCTGATTTAACTTGTACATAACAGATTTGATTGTGTCTGTGTAGAAAAGGCCGGCGGTCTCTGTGCTGAGAGCCCTGGTATTGACCTGTGCAAATATGTTGTCCTATGAATGGCTTGCGTCTGACAAGCGGACATGGATGTGAAGTTTGCTTCCGGTGTTGACAATGGCTATTTAATCCAGCAATCTCATGAACTTATTTGGCTCAGCAATTGTATGCGTTTCTCATTTCTTCAAATTGGCACTGATAGCCGAGGCGTCACATCATGTCAGGCCCCTCAGAACCTGTAGTTAGAGAAACTGTATCGCAACTCAAATGTCATAGACGATGACCTTTGACATCACTACTCAACCTTTCTATTAGGGTATTCCAGCATTTACCATAATAATACAATATCCTCAAAATTGGGAACATCACGTCATGCGTATGAGACATTGCCGTGGGCATCGGTTCAGTGCAAACAGGTATAACCTCCCTCCCTCGAGCTATGCTCTTCTATCAAATTGCTCGCTTGTGATTTTTTATTTACTCTCTGCGGGTTTCAAGTACTCGTTAACTGATGCTGTTTGCGTCGTCTCGCAATAGCTGCTTGCATTTTTTGACGCAAGGACACCTCCTCTTGTATTGCAGACAATATAAAAGAAGACCTTTCGCTTCAGTCAAGAACCTGAAAAGCAATGTTTCCACCCCACTCACTGTGTTTGACGTGACTCTCGTGTTATTCTAGGCCCCAACTTCGCATTGATTCTGCGGTGGCTTAGTGTCAAGGGTGAAGCCCACGCGGAACTCTCGTTGTCGTCTCTCGTCATTTTCCTTCTGGAACTTCCAGATATCGCGTCTGAATACACACAGTAATCAGATCCAGGCTCTATGTTAGTCGAAAGGGAGTTTCGTAGAAGCCAGAAACGATATGCCATTATCTGGTGGAAGGAACCGGTCGTTCAAGAACGACTACCTCGTGATGGCCACCAAATCTCATTCCTTGGTGTTTGATTCTTTCTAACATCATGGGCCTGGCTTCACTGAATATGATGTGAGTTCACAGGTGGGATTCATGCTCGGAAAATTGACCCTATTTTCCCACATTTTGGCATGGGCAACTTTTAGAAGTGCCATCGCCGTTGTTCGAATGATGCAAAGCGTCAACAGAGGCGTAAGTTTCCAGAGTGTCTTGCCCATACCCTGTTACTCATATCGTCTTTAGGGCTATTCACTTTGATGATTCGAATTAATCATATTGGTAGCAACTGGCATATTGTTACCACTCCGTGGTCATTTTGGCTGCTTCCGCCAGCCGTCTGTCCTCCGACGAAGAGGCAAACGCAAACATATTCCGACTTTCGCACCAAATTTGTGAGAGCGGTGGACGAAGACTTCAATGAACATGGCGTCTTTTTGTAGATGCAAAGCACCGCGTAATCCCCTGTCGACCTTGGTGTGACTGCCCTAAGGGGCCGAAGGTATATTAAGACCTTAGCAACTTATATTTCATGATTCTGTGACAATCCGACAAGAAGGTGGCTAGGTAGTTCTTATGGACAACTTCTATGACCTGTGGCGTCTGACTCTCGTACCGACATTTGCCAAATACC